TGCTTCGAAATTTTAAAAATAATTTTATAGATATTCCTCTAATAATTAATGATCAAATATTAAGTTTATTGTAAAAAATTATGTTCGTTTTTAAATGAAAATTTGTTCGAAAGAACGGTAAAAATAGGGGTAGTGACATTTTATTATTATTTTTTTATATGATGTTCAAATAGGTTTGATATTTTAATCCACATTTCCTGCCCAAAATTATTAATTAATTATATTTTATGGTTAAAATGTAAAATCACGCATTTTGTCGTAAACCAAGGGAATTTATATTTATCCATTTTTTTAAATAAAAAGAGGGTGAAACATAAACAATATTTTTTAATCCTGGCCAATTTTTTTTTAATATTTATGACCAATCCTGACTTGTTGGCTCTTATCTTATCTACTAAACTAAAAAGATATCTAAAATTCTATCGACTCCTGATAGATTTTATCCTAAAAGGCATTTAAGCGTAGGCTAATACTTTATTTTATCTTATATTTATTATAAAAATAAGGTAAAGTTATATAAGAAACATGGCTGGCTTAACCCCAAAACCGATTTGTAAAATATTATCCTTCTTTATAATCTGGGTAGGGCCTGCAAAATATACCTTTATAAATTTTAAGAATTTTAAAGATGCATTCTAATAAATATATATATATATATATTCATTTTAAATATAAATTAGATTCTCAGTATAATTTAGGCATCGAATATCAGCAATTAACCGATAGTAATATCTATCAAATGTAGTTATGCGAATAATTTATAGGACTTTATAGCGCAAACGAATGGTTTAGCAATCTTTATTGTTAGCTAACACATTAAAAACGCGGTTCCATTTAGGACATTTTAGTCGAGATTTGATAAAACGGAGTCATAAAATATTTTTGCTGGAATCTCTAAATATGGAAGAATTGCAAAGAAGAAAATTCGATATTTTTAGATCTAACATGTAGATGAAATTATGAACTAAAAATAAAAGATGAATAATTAGGGATGCATGCCAATATTTTAATATCGGATTCGCTAAATCATTCTTTTTTTTAAATAGAAACCGATTTGATATAAATAACGGATAAAATAATCTCGTTAAAAAAAATAAACCCTATTATTATTTATTTTTTACAATACAATGCAAAATATATTTTAGAACATATTAAAATGTGACTTGAAAACTTTAACTCATATAATATTTATTTATTTTTTTCTGCTAATTGATGTTTGAATTATTATTTTTATCAGCATTTTTCTCAAAATAAATTTTAATTATTAATTAAGGGAACGATAGTGAACAACTATTTAACAAGATTCTAGTTTCAGGTGCACTTAATAGTTATATAATACTTCCCCAGTCTGACGATGCATTCATTAAATTAATACATTTTGAAGCTTTGTTGAATACAAATCAGATACTCCATTGTGGTTTGCCAAAACTTTAATATCGGATTAGCTAAATCATTCTCTTTTTTGATATAGAAAACGATCCGTTATAAATAGCGGATAAAATAATCTCGTTTAAAAAAAACCCCTATTGATCCTCTGATTTTGAAATAACCAATGATTAGATACCATATGAAATGTTGTAGTTAATGTCCTAATTGCAGAATTCAATCTTGATATTGGAGTTGTTTTGGCAAATCTCTCGCAGAATTTTTATCAAAGAGTGACATGAGAATATGAGAAAGTGCAAGGTGTTACATTTTTTGTAGAAGAAGAACGCCAATCGTTACTTGTTTCAAAAGGTAAAGATTGAACGCAAAACATTACTCGTTACTTTAAATAAAATCAGGAAAAATTATTTTTTATTTTATTAAATATTATATTTTTTATAAATAATTTAAGCCATTTTTTAATTAATGAGTAACTCGCTACTTTTCTTTAAATAGGGTGTAACGCGTCTTTTTTCACAAGGTAACGAGTAACCGTAACGCGTTCCTTTTTTAAAGAGTAACACGTTTTCTTTGAAGCAACGGTACAGCATTAATTAAAATATATTAATTTAGAAAATTTAAGTTAATTGTGGCAAATAAAATACCTTATAAATTTATGGAATATATTTTATAATAAAAATAAATAATATTTTACAATGCAATTGTTTAATGATATTGAGAATTTTTTTTTATACGTTTAACATAAGGTGTCGATATAATAGTAATATTATTGGGAATAGAAATGAAAAAAGTGAGAGATAAAGCGACATGAAGTTATTGAGGGTTAGATGTCGGGGCATCACGAGCTAGGAACTTTGGGTCCTAAAGCTCTTTTTCAAAACTAGCACCAATTTTGAAAAATGGTATAGCACTCTATTTTTTTAAAATTAGCACCCAATTTTAAATAAAAAGGACCCATGTAAAGAAATAAATAAATATTTCATCTAAATAGTTTACGAAATTATAGGGTTTATTTAAATAAATATCCATTAAGTCATTTTATTAAACTTCCTTTCGCCTTTAGCAAAAGCAAAATATAATAAAATATATTATATTATGTGAAAAAAAGTTATATTATCTATTTATGATCATTTATTAATATTTTATGACTGCGACTAAAACAGTGTATCTATTTTCCAATTTATTTAGTTTGATGTTAATTTTTGATTGCTTTTTACCTTTGCTTCTACTTATTTTAATTTATCCATTTCACAATTTAAATATATATTAAAAATGACATATTGAAATAAATATAAAACTCCTCATTCTATAAAAACGAAATCTATAAGCCCAAAAAACACAAATAATAGTATTTTAAAGTTGTAATTTGAATTTTTTGTTTTAAAAACAAAAAATAATACCTTGGGTTCTTTACTGCTTAAAAAATCTAGTTCCGTTTGACATATATCCAAGGAAAGAGATAACCATTGGTAAAAAAAACATAATTTGTTAATTAAGATATTTTTTCTCGGCTATATCAACTGGATTGGAATTTTTATTTTTCGGAAATGAAGAGTCGCATATGAAGTCCCACATATTCACCTAAAAACCAAGGCACAGAAGTTAAACAATCTGACATCAGGCCATCATCTGAAGATAAATCAGCAGATCTTAAGGATGTTTGGTATTCAGGTCCTCATAAGAGTCAGAGCTCTGCAAATGTCAAATCTTCCAGCCCGGCCTAATAAGAATTTAATCTTTGCCCAGCCCGGCTCAGTTACAATCTTTCATTAAGGTTAACCGGTCAGGTTTAAATATTTAGTAAAGTTTCCCGGCTCAATTTTTTAATCCGCACATCTTTCTACCTGAATATTTGTAGTTAAACACCAAAATAAGCAACTATTTATAAATATTGGGGAGTGGTTAAATTAAAAACATTATACTTTATGGATTATCACTTCTATGAAATATCAGAATTTATCAATAAGTCAAATACATTACAAAATATATCCAATTTCTGCCAATAATAATTTGACCTTTGAGATTAAATTAAAATTTAAAAAAAATCTAATAACAATTTGTCATTATTAAAGTTATAAAATTAGGTTTTAGAATAATTTTTTTATATTCTCTAATCTCTATTAAGCTGGCCTTTGCCCGGCCCATTAATTTTTTACTCATATTTGTCCTACCCATATATTTTCCAACGTACGAGCCGGGAACGAACGATGTTATGACAACTCTTAATTTTTCATCGGATAAGAGGTTACCTAGTTACAACTTTTCATTCTGAAGATAAATACAAAATCAAAGAACGAACTGGTAAACATATTATTCAATTTCTTGATAAAAAAATCTATAAGATAAAAGCCTTCAGAATGGGTTTATTTAAGGATTTTTTATTGGTTACGGGAAGGGTAGAACATTTGAGTTAGATTCTATATTAAATATTTTTGATTAGCGATTCATGTATATTATAATTAATTTTAGTAGAAGATAAAAATCTATAAACATGAACCGAAAGCCAAGCAAAAGCGGGCCAAAGGGGGATAAATTATATATTAATAGAGTAATAAATATAACCCTTTTAAAAAAATATTAGCACCTATTATCACCCTTTTTGCAAAAAGCTAGCCACCCTCCCCCCCCCCTCCTCTCGGCAAGATGCAATGTATGCATTACGTTAGACTTTTTTGTGAGAGTGGAGAGGTAATAGGTGCAAATAATATGATATTGGGTAAGAGGGTGGAAGGTAGACAGGAGGTTGGGCATGACTAGGATTTCACCAAAGAGGGCAAAATATAATAAATAATACTGAATTGGTTAAGGAAAAAAATGACTGTTATTTTCGATGGAAGAATAATATCCATGTTATTAAATGTCGGAACCATGGTTACAATCATTAGTATGGCTGAAACTAAAAGATTATGGCGTGAAAAAAAAATCTATCCGCATAAACAAGGGTTACACAAAATTGATAGATCGTGGATACTAATCAAATATGGGTTGAAATGATAGATCGTGGATACTTATCAAATATGGGTTGAAATGAGGAATGCGTAATCCCCAAAGATTATGTAAAGGGGTGACAAAAGGAGACATGGAAAACATAACGAAATAGGATTGTGCTAAGTTGTTAGGCCCGTAAGTAAATGGTTATGGATATTTTCCGAAGGGAAAAATAGAGAAAAAGATTTTGAATGGAGGGGATTTAAAAAATTTCCATGGAGAGGTCCATTCTCTAAAGAAAACATAAGCAGTTTATTTACAAAAGGATAATGAGTGAAAATAAATTCGCCTTAAGATATATTGGATTTGTGATCAATTTTTAAAAGGCCTAGATTTAATCGACATCGTTGAATGATAAATTATTTGTTAAAGACTTATTTTCAAAAATTGATTTTTTATTTCTTAATTTTTTGAAAATTTTAAAATATCTTGATTTATTTTTAAAAAAAATTGCATTCGTTTCGTATCTTATATAAAGACATGAAGAGTATCTTTATTCGTGTATATATTAATCGCCCATCCTTATTGTATATATAGTTGTTTTATTTATAGAAATAAAAAAAGATAATTTGATCACAATCTTCATATTGCTAATGACAGTTTATCTATAATTTAAATAGCTAATATTATACATTATATAGTTTTTATAAAACAAAATTTCAATATATCTATTAACAATTTCATGAGCAATGAAGATTAAATTCCATAATTTTTCTAAACATGGTATTATTAAACAAAGGGATCTTCTTGGTGATTGAAATTAGATTATATAAATGTAACGGGGTTCATCATGCTTATTTTACTTTATGTTATTTATTTTTTTAATGTATATCATGGTATTTCTTTTATAGTTTCTAAATAGGGTTTAATGGGCTCGATTTCGTCTAATTTGTTTAATGTAGATGTAGATGAAAGAATTTTGGCGGTGGATTCACTGGTATGAAATCGCTTAACGTTAGTGGGGATATCGGTTTCGAACTTCATTATTCGAAAGTAGCGAAGGAATGCAACGAATGGTATTGGGAATGTTCCTTAATTTGTGATGAAAATTTTTGGGAAAATAAATAATTTTAATAATTTGATTTATTTTTAGTTATTTCGTATTTGATTAAATCTAACTCACCAATTTAACTGTTCTTTATATATGAAATAAGATGAGCATGTTTATTTGGTATAAAGATTACTAGAGATTCTTGTTTATAAATGTTAAAATATTTTTATAACTAAACAAAGTGACTAAAAATTAAAAAATAATATAAAAGGCTGAATCTTAGTTCAATTTTTTTTGTCGAAGTAAATATTAATAGACTAATTTTTTGCATATTTTTAAAATTGATTGTGACGCCAATTAATTTTAAGCGTTAGAACAAAATTGATTAGTGCCAATGTTAAAAAATACAAAAAAATGGGAGCCTATTAGGTTTTACTTTAAAAAATTATAGGCGTAGTTCAATGATAATAACTGTTATATTTTAATATCTTATATATTTTAAAAGGTTATATTCAACGCTATTTGAATATTATTTTTCATACAATATTATAACTTTCCTACATTTAATATTTTATTATTGAGGTCAATATAATTGCATAATATTAGAAGTTAAATTACATAATTATAAAATACTAAAACAATTTAAAATAAAGATACCAATTGTTTTGACTATAAAAAAAACCTTGATTGATGATTATTATAGTAATCATCTTTTGACGCCATATTGATGTCTACCCGTAGATTAAATGACATTAATTGTTTAAAAATCTTTTTTTGAATAGATAAAATCAATTTAAAAAAAAAAAGTCGTAATGTCATTTAGTCAATGCCATAAAATGCGTATATACCGCTAACTTTATATGTAGATTAAACCATTTAAAAGAAAATAAATTTTAAAAAAATACCTAAAACACATCAGGGCCTGGCTTACAGGTCTCTAGTAAAATTTGCTTGTATATAATTACAAGTGTTTCAATCAGAAGCAGAAAATTTATAAAATAAATTAATGTTTTAAAGTTTAATATAATTGTACATTTCATTTTAATCCCCATTTTATAACTCTCGTAGAAAGTTAGATAATGTCGACAAAACATTTTATGTCCATGTATATAAAATTAAATATTTACAATATTGTCATATATGGAAATATATGCGGTGACGATTAGTAAAGGAGAAAAACAAAGAGACCTTCGAGAAAGAAATTGCGAAGGCATTCATTCATTCTTTTTAGATGTAATTTACACATATTTAATTTTACTCATCCATCCAATTTCATATAATATCACTTATCTCTGACTCGTATCTCATACGATGGCTCATATTTCACTTATTATTTTTTCCCCTTTACTATTCAACAGGATATACTCACTTATGGTTACAAAGTATATTAAAATTAGTTCTTCCCTTGCAGTAATTTAATACTTATGCAATTCATGGGGGTGGGCTATGTTTCTTGCCCATTCCCTTTTAATCAGCTCACAGACGTTTAAATAATAGTCCTAGGACTATTGCGCGTACAAGTGCGGCTTGCCCACAAACGTGTGAAGGTCCTCCTCTTTTTTTCTTTCCCCCTAAATTAAATCAGTTTGATAAATTGAGGAAACCCTACTGCTGCCACAACTAGAGAGCGAAACGTTTTTATCATGTATCACGTAATTTTACTCAGATATAAATGTAGCTGTAAAAATATGGAATAAAAAGTATTTAGTAAATATTTTGCTATCCAATTTCAAAACAAAACAAAATAAATATAAAATTATATATATTATATATAAACCTATTAATATTAATAACGCGACGACTCCTAGAACCCACGTGGGATATGGTGTTTTAACTAAAAGTGCCTGATAAATGAAATGTATAATATAAGACGTATGAAAAAGCAGAAGATTGATCAAAAAATATATAATTTATTAATATAATAATGATTTTATAAAAGAATATGACTAAATATTAATTACTTGCTTAATTAGTATATTCACATAATAATTATAGTTCTAACTTTAACAATAAATTAATTATTGATAATACAAATAATCGCTTATATTACCTTGGCAGAATCATAACTATTATATTGAGGCCGTTCTAAAATCCATTTAATTGTGCTAGCGAGTAATATACCGGCCATAAGAATTGGACTCACATATCGCCAAGTAATTTGCCAATACCAACCAGGATAAGTGCCTGTCATAAATTCTAGATCGCGACTAAATCTGTATGTTATAATAATTACAATATAAATATGCATAAAGTATCAATAAAGTTTTCTCATCAAGTTAAATATTCCTCAAATGATTTATAAGCATTTTTTAAAATAACTTTGCTAATATATAATATAAAATCGTCACTCATAAACCTCGTTGTACGTTTTATAAATTATTACTTACTAGTTTGCAGGGTTGGGCAGTATCGTGGATATTTGTATCTAAGATACAATTTTTTTAAATTTTGAAAAGTATCTTGTATCCAGTATCTACGATACATATTATTTAAAAGTATTTGTATCTTAACCAACTTTGTATTCAAAAAGATACAGATACTTTAAAAAAAAATTATATTAGTTAATTTAAATAGTATTAAAATTTAAAATGATATTGTTTTAATATTTAAATGATAAATTTAATCAGAATTTAGATATTTTAAGATAATGATATATGACGTTGGTCGTCATATAGCAATTTGCTAACAATTAGAACTATCATATTTTATTTGAATCGTTTTATATCAGTCTATTTTAAAATAATGGAAGAAGAAAATAGAATAATATGTATATCTTCGTCTTCAGATGATTCTCCAACCGAAAAATATAACTATAAATTTAAATTAAGTATTTTAAATGGGAAATTTTTACAAGTACTTCAACCTGATCATAATAAAATTACCACAGAATGTAAAGAATGTCACAAATCTATAAGTGGTTCTGCGAACTCGTCATCAAATTTTGTCAAGCATCTAAAAGTATAATATATAATTATATAATAAATCACATTTATAATCATATTCATTATCATTTTATATTCCATATATCTGTTGCTAAAATAAATTTTTATATTATTGATTGATAATGAAATTAAAATGATATATAAAAAATCATCTATGAAAAGAATAAGAAAACTAATATTTATAAAAAAGAGGTTGTTAATTTGAATACTAGGCCAAAATATAATCCAAATATTTGGGGCACTATTTTTATATGATAGATAGTGCTTAGCATTATTTAATCCACCTTTCATATGTATTTTTTTAAATTTTACATAAATGCTTAAAATATAATTTTCTTTATAAAATTAATAGATGATCATTATATTGCATTTAAAAAAAATTCTTACAAATGTATTTTGTAAATAGTTGATTTTACAAAAATTATTTATAAAATTTTAATGGGTATTAATCATTATTTATAAATAAGACAAAAGTTTCATAAATATTTTAATATAAATACATTTCATATAATTTTATCATTTCAAAGTAGAATTTTTTACAAAAAATTAGTAAATTTCTGATATAAAATATATTATTATTTGTTTCACTTATAGAGACGTCATCTGGAATCATATAAAAATTATATGAACCATCATAAAATATTACACAAACAGAAAAAACAAAAAGAAATTGTGAAAACTGCATCATTAACTCAAAAAACATTAGGATTTTCAAATGATAAAAAGAAAAAAATATCTCAAGAAAAATTTAATAATTTATTAACTTCATTTGTTGTTAAAGGAATGCATCCATTATCTATAGTTGAGCAAAAGAAATTTGTCAAAATGATAGAAGGTAAATTTAATTTTCTCTTATCCTTATCTCTTCTACTCAATTTATTAGAAATATTATCTTGTATTGGATTACTATTACCAATTAAAAAATTTTCTCGAAGATCTTTGCAAAGAAAAATTGATGAAAGCTTCATATATGAAACTGATAATTTCAAACGGTTATTGAAAGCTCAGACATATATCTGCACTACTGCAGATATTTGGTCTACTAAGACTAGAAGCTTTCTTGGAATGACTTGTCACTGGGTAATGAAATAATATGCTATTTTATTTATAAATTCAATTAAATAAATTTAAATAAACTCTCAGGCGCCCTTGTTGTAAGAAGATTTTTAGGAAGCCACACATATGATAAAACAGAATTAGTTGATGAAATCCATCGTGACTTTAGAATTGATGTAAAGTTATAGCAACTGTTACAGATAACGGCTCTAACTTCAAGAAAGCTTTCAAGGAGTTTGGATATTCTATGGAAGGTGTGGAGAATGATTTTGACATCAATGAAGATGAATATATAGTATTCGAAATCATTGAAAGCATTATTTAATACTTCTTTTAATAAAATTTATTATGATATCGTAAATTTAGTAAAAAATTTTATTTAAATAAAATTATTTATTTGTTTAAATTTAAGGGTCTAAAGAAGCCTCAATAACATTGCCTCAACACATTCGTTGTGTGTGCCATACGATAAGTCTTATTGCCACAACAGATGTCGAGAAAGCTATTAAGTATTCTCCTAACATTTCTAAAATTCATCATCCCGCAATAGCCAAATGTACTAAGCTATGGAATGCTAGTAATAGGCCTAAAACTGCAGAACTTATCAAAGCAGTTTTAGGAAAACAATTAGTTACACCTTGCTGCACAAGATGGAATAGTATGTTTGAGCGAACTTCTTAAATTATGTCAAAAATTAGAATTTCCAAAATTAAGAGATATTGAAATTCAATATTTAGAAGAATATTTCAATATAATGTCCCCATTGGCTATAGCGATTGACAAAATACAAAGTGAAATCAACTGCTATTATGGAGAATCAGCTCCAATATTAAATGCCGTTAAAAAAAATTACAAATTTAATTCAAACTGATCTACATCTTTGCAAACCATTAGCTATTGCAGTAGAAAATTCTTTAAATAAAAGATTTAAAAATATATATGTTGATAATAACCTTTAAAAGGGCATTTTTGGCAACTATTCTCATTCCTACGTTGGATTGATGGTGAAAAAGAAAAAAATACCTTCAGGATTTGTTAATACATGAAGCTTTAATTTTTATAAAAAAATATTGAAATTAATACGTCAACAAAATCTTCAATTGATGAAGATGATGATTATTTTTGTTTTAAAAGTACCACATCCAATTCTACCACATCCAATTCTAATAATTCAATATATGATATTGAATTAGAGGTCCGAAATTATATGAAAGATGACAGGCGCAGTATAAATATGTTAAATAGTAAATATTTAATAAATATAACACAATATTACCCTCTTCTTCCCCCGTTGAACGATCATTTAGCTTTGCTAATATGGTTAATAGACCAAATCGTCAAAGATTGATAGATAAATTATTTGAAAAATTAATAATATTAAAAAATAATACTGATTTATGATACTGATTTATTAATATTTACTAATTATACAATTATTAAAAAAAATATCGTATTGTCTTATATAATAAATTTGTTATTTTCTACAATTTATTTTCAATTTTTTTATAAATTTATATTATAGATAAGAAAATAAAGCTTTATACATTTTGATTTTGACTATTTAAAGTTTTTTAAAAAGTATCTTGTATCTTAATTTTTTTTTAAAAAGATACAAGATAAATTTTTCTAAAGTATCTTGTATCTTAAATACAAAATTTTATAAAATATCTGTATCCGAATACAATTTTCTGAAAATTTGCCCAACCCTACTAGTTTGTAGTAAAAATAATTTATATGAAGAAAATGATCAGCCAGTTTAATTTGCTATTAAAATATTTGCTAAATAAATAATTTAAAGTTGGAAAATAGCCTCATCATTTATTGAGTGAGGTTTTAAATTTGTAACAAATCTCATTTTTGCGAAAAAAATTCCAGTGTGTTTAGAATATACCTATCCTACAAACTTTAGATAACATGACAATTAATCCTAAAGTCATTTTTAATAATTATTGGCACGTAGACGTGTAGCTAAAGTAGGGGGGGGGGAATCCCCCCTAAAAATTATAATATACAATAATTCATATTTGCTAGTTAGGATGCTTTTTCCGGGCAGATTTGTTTTAGGATTTCTTAAACTATAATATAATATTTTTAAAAATTAGGCATTTTAATGAACTGGAATAAGTCTGACCATTTCTGGCAGGCGCGTACGCAACGGGGGGGGGACAGGGGGACAAATCCCCCCCCCTCCCCCAAAGCCAAAAAATGCAGATGCCGGATTATATTTTTCAAAAATATTAATGTTAATATTAATTTATATTTGTTAATATTTATTCTTATCTCATATATACATATACATATATATATATATTTAATTACATTTATTTATCACATTCATCTACTAAGTTATTTTATCAATCAATTTCGATTTCAAGTTTTCCTTGGCGTAATTTACCTATTATTTTCAAATTTTAGTGGCGTAATATTTATCTAAATTTCTAATAAAATAATAATTATCTCTGAAACTCCTTGTCCAACAGGGAGAAAAAAATTGCAAGCTTGTCCAACGAGATCGAGTCTCCGCCACAGTAACAGCTATTTTGGAGTTAGAAGAGCTGATTATTAATGCTATTACTGAAATATCACAATGGCTTGAAAGAAATATTTCATCAGAAGCAAGAAAATTATTGGATTCAATACTTATTCCAAATTTTTTTTCTCATTAGAATGTATTATTTAATTATACAACTATTTTATGTAATACTTTTCAAAAACATAACATTGACTTGATTAAGAAGATGAGAATAGCGGAGAGCATTTTATTAGAACTCAAGAAAATAGAGCTAGTGTTGTTGAAGAATTTCATATTTTATATGTTATTGTTGAGTCAAAAGCAGAGCTATACGTGTTAAATATTTGTCCCCCTCGACTTGCAGCAAGCAAGCTCATCATCAAAACATTAATATAGGATCAGTAGAAGAGTATTATAAAACAAATGTCCCCTCTCCCAACCTTTTTCATATGGTGATAGAAAAAAAATATAAATATTTGTTAAATTTTTATCATGAAGATGTTAAAATATCTTATGATGCTTTATTAGCTGAATAACTATGATTAAAAGATTAACTATGGTTGATACAGTCCCAAAAAATGCTATGGATGCTTTTTATTTCAAACACATTTTAGATTATACTCCCAATTATTAAAATGGTTATATATATATTAGCAGCTCTTTAGTAAACTAATGAGAGAACATTCACTTTTTTAAGAAGAATAATATAGCCTTGCAGAGGTACCATTGGCAGGACCAGGCCCAGATTTTTTTTTAAAAATTTTTCCGGCCCGGGTTTTTTTTTAAAAAATTTTCAGGCCCGGCCCGGCTGGCCCATCTTGAATTTTTTAAAATAAATTATATTTATTTTTGATATTTATAGCTAATAATGGCGATTTCAAATATTTGGTTTTAAAATATACAACTCGGCTCGGATATTTTTTCTTAAAAAATTTTCAGGCCCAGCCCGGGTGTTTTTAAAAAAAAATTACGAGCCCGGCCCGGGTATATTTAAAAAAATTAAAATACGGTCCAGCTCGGGGGCCGGGCCTGCAAGTCTGTGAAAAACATACCTATGAAATACAACATCTGAAAGTAGATTAAATGATTTGGATCTTTTGAATATTCATAGACATTTAAAGCCAAGCAAGGATTGATAATTGAAAAATTAGCTCAAAACATACAAAATACAATTATTCCTAAGAAACTTTTTGTGAATTAATTTATATTTACAACATTTAAATTTTTTATACTTTATATATTTTAAAAGCTCAAAAAATTCAAATTTCAATTTTGGGTCATTTAAGTGATTCATATCGTGGGTTATATTCACTTTATATTTTATGATTCACATTTAAATGCCGGTTTATATATATAATTTTTTTAATTCACATTAGTTTAAAATTGTGTATTAAAGTTATTAATCCTAATAAATTTATGCTTAGTATTTTTAATTAAAAATATTATTTCTTAAAAAAATTTATTATCCCCCCCAGACCAAATTCCTGCGTACGCGCCTGATTTCTGGGTTAAGTTAATACCCCCCCCCCCTAAAGTCCCTCCATTAAATGAATACAATATGTCATAAATTTTTAAAGAACAAGTAGGTTAATAACGAAATTATTTTTTTAAATGTAACCGGGTGCTATAAAAAACGGGTTTAAGGAGCTCTAAAATGTATTGGGGGTAGAGATCTGCAAAGTTAGGCCCGGCTCGGGTCTAATTCTATTTAGAATAATCGGGTTTGAGCCGGGCCAGGCCTTATATTTTTTAAAAAAATTCGGGCCTGGTCAGGTCGGACCTTGGAATTTTTTTTAAATATATCTAAATTTCTCAATTTTATATTGTATTTTTTATGTAAAATAAAAATATTTTATTTTATTTATTGAAACTAAACGACATATAACAAATGTCTTTTATTTTGAGTAATTAAACAAAATAACTATAACTATTAGTCTAGTCATAAATGATACTTTTCGTTCAAACCTCAATAAATTCAATTCGACTAATCTGAATAAATAAAACATCTTCTGTATATAAAATATAGGCTATTTGAAATATATTAAAATAACTATAATAAATGTTTGTACTTTATTGATTTTTATAATAGATATAAATTTTATTGGTTTATATGTCTATGAAGGTGAGTAAGTACTGCTGATTATTGCTTATATAGGGATACTTGGAGTAATATGGAGAAGGAAAGATGGGAGGAATGTATGATTGTATATATATTTCTTCAACATTTGGTGCCTAAAGGTCCCTGGTTCAGTCCCGGGTTTTGTCACCAAATGTTATGTTTGATATTTCACTGTAATGACAATAATAATTTCGTTGTAGTAATCTTGAATATCGTACATCGTCGTATATATAGAAATAATAATCTATCATCACTGATTGACTGCTGATTGATCGACAATCCTTCACATTATCACGTCAATCACAACAGTTTATATATTTTATAAAAGCTAGACTTTTTTAGAAAATTGAATCTTAAAAAAGAAGAGACCAACTATGCTATCTCTGGGTACGTTAGGACAACTATATTAGTTATAAGATAGGATAAAGGTCTAAATATAAAATTAATATTTTTTTATTATGATTTTAGATTGATAAATATTCATTGAAAATTATTTGTATTAATCAAAATAAAAAATAAATATGCAATAATTAATAACTATCCTATGACCAAACCATGGCTTAGTCTAATTTAGAAATATCATTTAAAATCTCTTTAATTCATGTTTTATGATTTTGAACAATTTTTTTATTAAGATTTTAAAAGTCTTATTTACAAATTTGAACAATAATTTTTTTTGTTACTTTTGGTATGCTAAAACAAATTTTCCTCTGTAAAAATTAAAATACTAAATATTTTTCAAATGTTTTTTAGCTAATCCTATATGACGTAATATTAGTTTAAGTTTCCAGTGTTATAAATTAATAGCTTAAATTATGTTATAATATTATATTATCTGTTTGTATATTGTTTTGCGGCTATAACTTAACATAATGAAAAGTTTATATATTAACTCTCTTTTTGTTAAATTATACTATATGCTAAATTGATTTAATATAATATATTCTCTTGTTGAAATAATATTCAAATGTTTTATATACACAATTAACTTTTACCGAAATATATATATATATTGATAAATTGTGATAATTATTATTTATCACCCCTTAAATAAATATCTTTAATTCTTGTTTAACTCGATCCTTAAAATCCATACAAATTATAATTAGAGTGGACTAACGTCCCGCAGTTTTCATCGTATCCCGGTTTCCCCTATATGTAGTTTTGGGATATGGAATCCATTGGATTCAGAATCTGAATTATAATCATATAAATCCTGTACTTAGATCAATTTTTAATTTTGACAAATCTGATTTGACTCGAAATGTATTTCAGCAAAAGCATGTGAATTTCAGATAATTTTGTCATGAACTTTAAACTAGATTTAATTTATATTAATTTTTATGTATATTTTACATACAAATTAAAAAAAATAAATACAAAAGTTCATGGCGAAAATTATCTGAAATTTCGATACTCTACAAATGCTGAAACATATTACCAGTCAGATTTTTAAAATTTAAAAAACGTCCTCAGTAAAAGATATGAAACTGTGAGATTCCGAATACCCATAGATTCTATATCCCAATATGACATATATATTATAAAATAATACTAGTAAAATGTTTCATACTTTTTGTGGCCATAGATGTAAATAACGGCAATTATTTCAAAAAACGCCACTATAACTAGGGTTAGAGTTCCGGCAAATGTATCGAAAAGTTTCACCCAATACTCTCCGGAAGATAGGACGAAAATTAAACCGGTCAAGAATGAGATTGTACATAGTATGGCTTATATAGATATTTTTTTATTAGAAAAAAAAATTAGCACATTTTAATACTTGATTTAAATTATATATCAAAATATATAATATTGTTTGATAAATTGTCCAAATTAGAACCGTGCACTCGAGCCCGATACGAATGTTAAATTAAGCCTGAGTCAGGCTTTAAAATGTAAAATAAAATAAACATCATCAATACTTTATCCTAAATCCTAGTAATATTTTATTTTAATAAAAGAAGAGGAAGCATAATTTCTATTTTCAGTTACATTGAAACTCGTTTTGTAAAAAAAAATTAATCCCAGCCAAATGACTATCGAATCGAATTACTAAATTAGGAAATTATTTATAATTGTAAGACAATTTACCCTACACCCGTTTTTGTTCAAATTGTCCGTCCCCGTCCTATTAAAGAACAGGTTTAGACCGCGCTCGAACAGTTATGCGCAAAGCTCTAGTATTTACATTAGAGATCTTCAAAGTTTAATTCTATTTAAAATAATCGGGTTCGGGTCGGGCCGGGCCTAATATTTTTTAAAAAATTCGGGCCGGGTCGGGTCGGACCTTGGAATTTTTTTTAAATATATTTAAATTTCTCAATTTTATATTGAATTTTTTATGTAAAATAAAATTTGATTTTATTTATTGAAACTAAACGACATATAACATATGTCTTTTATTTTGAGTAATTATAAAAATTAATTTCTATATTTAAATAAATTCGGACCGGGCTGGGCCGGTAAATTTTTTTAAAAAAAAGTTCGGGTTCGGGCCGGCAAAACATTTTTAAAAAAATTTCGGGATCGGGCAGGGCCGGCTAAACTATTTTAAAAAAATTTCGGGTCGGGTCGAGCCGGGCTTGAAAAATTAGATTTGATGCAGATCACTAATTTACATTGTTTTCTAACTATTTATTTTTAATACTTTATAAATATAATTATACCTAAAACGAATTATTTGTTATAAGATATTCAATTCGATTCGATTCGTATTTTACGAATACGAATAATATTCGATTCGAAAATTCGAATCGAATTCGAATAGGAAAATATATTATTCGTCGAATAATTTTTTATCTATTATTCGATCGAATTATTCGAGATTATTCGATTAAAATAATTTATATTAATAAATATCGGAAAATAATCATATATTATTATTCCTATTTAATAAAATTTCCTAGGAATAATGAAGAAACATTTTATATTTCTAAATGTTGCTAACGGCTGTTTTTATTCGAATAATTCATAATACAAAATTAACTTCCGAAAATTGTTTTATGATGGACGAAGAAAGTATTTATTTATATGTAATTTATAACAAATATACAATTATAAATAACTAGTAGCTATCCCGTCAAGAATGACGGGCGAACTAAATATTTCTCTTTTGTTTGATGATGAAGAAATCATTAATGTGACTTTTTGCAAAAACTTTGTGTTTAAAAAATTTGTTGGTATATTTGTCTTCTACATGATATTAATATTATATTGATTTTTCTACATTATATATAAATATACTATATATATGCTTCTATATTATCTTACTAATTAAATTTGTTTGTCTTTTATCCATAGTTAAATTTTACAAAATAAATTTAATATGCTATCTTTTTTAATTTATGGTTAAAATTGAAGAATATTCGACGAATCGAATCGAATAATTGTATTATTCGTTCCTATATACTCTTCGAGCATTGGTCGACAGAAAATTCTATATTAAAAACTCTGATCAAAATATATAAATGACCTCTTTCTGTTTTTATGTTTTTTTTATCATCAATAGATAAAATTATTATATGATATACAATGCATAATATATATATTGTAATGGGATATATGGAAATCATTGAGGTTCGGAATCTCTCAATTTTAAATATTTTCTGAGAGCAATTTTTAAATCTGAAAATTTTATTTGCCAGTTAATGCATTCCAACTTGTACAGAGACCCAGTTGTGAATTTTAGACAATTTTGCTCAAAACTTTCGAAATACATTTAATTTATATCCGTTTTTATATTGATTATTCAGATAAAATAAAAAAAAATACAAAAGTTTATGGCGAAAATTTCTGAGTTTTATTGGGTAGGTAGTCTATATATGCTGGAATGTGGAATTAGATTTTTCAAATTCTGAAATCGCCTCAGTACATGATATAAACTTGAAAGATTTCTATTCACGTGGATTCCATATCTCAATACGACATATTTATTTTATAAAGTCAAATTATAATACTCGCAAATAAACCTTTTTTTCATAACAAATTAAAAAATAAAACTGATTAACCTACCCGAAAGATATTCTTTTCGCAACCAAGGAAATAAATGCAAGTCATGTATCGATGTTATAAGGCCCTCCATGATTCCAAACATCGTGCCCAAGCCTAATGTTATAAGCATAGAAAAGAATATGATTGACCAAAATGGAGATCCGGGGAATTCTAAGATTGCTTGTGTGAATACTATAAATGCTAAGCCGGTCCCCTCGGCTGCCTTTATTTAGAATTTATTTTTACAATTAAATTAATAATTTTATATAGTTATACCTGATTTAAATTATCTTGTAAATTACACCTTTCTAGATCAAGGACGGAGTTATTTCCTGAGAATTTCTTAACAAAAGTATTGTATTCAGACTCGATAAAAGATATATTGATGCTTCCTTTGTAGTATCCATATATAGCTTCATGATTTCTTATATAAAGTCAACAAAACAAATTTTTTTAATTTATTGATTAAATTTTATACAAAGGTATTCCATTTCAATATACACGCACGATATAAATGGTATATAGATAAAAGAAATTTAGAAATATTAGTTATTTTATTTTAAACTTATTTTTAATTTTACAATCCATAAATCAACTAATAGAGTAAAAAAATATTATATAATTGACGCTATCTATTTATATGATAATAGCCTGGACTAGGTGTAATATAAAAATTTAATTTTTATATTATTACAATTTGATGCATGTTTCGTAATTGTTCAAAGCTTTGAAGCCTAAAACCGAAAATATGACGATACATGCGAAAATTGAGGTTGAGCAATTAATACATGACACAAGAATAGCATCTTTTTTACAATTATTTCTAGGTGGATTATAACTAGAAAATGCGATTATTGAACCAAATCCTAAACCCAGGGAATAAAAGATCTGAGTAGCGGCGTCCAACCAGACTTGTGGATCCAATAATTTATCAGTCTATTTTAATAAATGAGTTTGTATAACAATAGTTAATCTATAATAGAAAGAGTCACGGTTCCGTAGCCCGCAATAAATAAAATATAAATAAACAATTTTATATCAAAGAAACAATTAGTTTAATCTTTTAATCTCAATTCATTTTCAAAATTCATTATCACTTTTAAACTTAGTTGGAATTAATTATTTATTACATGTATAATTAAAGTGACCTTCTATTGTAATTAAATGACATGGTCAGTTTAAATGTAAACTCATGCAAAAACTGATGAAAAAAAATATTTATGAACCAAAATTTTAAGCCCGACGAGGTGCTCAGAGAAGATAGAAATATAATTTTAAAAAATTTAAAATGTAAATAAAATGAAAGAGATAGTGACCATTCGATTTGTAAAAGACAAATCATTTCAATGATGTAAGTGTACATTTTTTAAACTTAAATATGATACAATGGATGTAACCAAGAGTGGGACTTAGGGAAATCTCCATATGGCAAATTTACAAGTTTTCAAATAACACTTTAAGGCAGTTTGAAACCTGCATTGGTTCCGGTTTCGAATATTTTTTTTAAAAAAGTGATTCTCGTTCTGGTTCCTTAAATTTTGAAGTTGTTTCTGGGTTAATCCTGAATCACATAAAATTTTAAATTTTAAACCAAATATTCAGTGCCATGCTGAGATTTTTAGCCGTCCAAGGCAAATTCGGCGACCCTTTACAATAAATACAATTTATCTAAGCTTTTGTAAAAAAAATTCGTATCTTACAAAGACTAAAAGCATGTAATATAATCAAATTTATGAATTTCAATCTAAAATATGTGTAATGCACATTAAAAAATAATAATATAGTGCGTGTACCGTGTATATAATACAGACTTATCATATAATAATCATTACTAAATAAATATTAGTTTAAAATTTATCCTCCTCGCCTTTTTATTTGCAAAAGAGGATATTATGTCAGTATAATCTAACAACGATGAAATTTCATTTTCGATTAAAATTAAGGATATGCGAGGCGGTCTTGCACCATATAGGATCTTAAGTAAGTCTTGATCAGAACTTCGAGAAGCTGCGTCCCTCAAAATATGGATATATGGCTTCAAATATGTGTTAGTGTAAATATAGCGCAAGATTTCTAAAGGACTTTTTAATTGTGCGCTTACACAATATATTTATTAAAATTTTTAATCTGGTAAATTAATATCGTTTTCCAATGAATCTTGATCCGTTTAATAAAATATTTAATTGATTACAATATTCTTTTAGCTCAGCTTCAGGTGCATCCAATTCAGGTATATTGAATAAAAACCCAAAAATGATCCTTGAAAATTTTTAACTGCGTAAAAAGTTCTTCCAGCGAAATCTTCACTTGATAGATACGTTAAAAAATTCAATTATATTAATGTGTTCATTAATGATATCGATTATTTCTCGCATTTCAGATGTGGCGCCTGATGCACTAATAAATTAAGCTTCTCGCTTCTTCGTATTCGTTTCTCGGCACCATAAAATTTGTTTCCTCTTCCCATTCTTCATGAAATAAAAAATTATATGGTAGTAACAGATTAGTTCACTAAAACAGTATTATTTTTTAAATTTAATTTTCTTTATTTTAACAATATGTATAAATTTATTTAATTATAGTAATATTAAAAAATTACAATAAGATAAATTTTATTTATAAATATTTAAAATATACAATATTTATGTTTAAAAAAAACATTGTTTATAAGAGGCAATGTGTATTATTTTTTAATTTTGAATTCTTTTTTGAGCATGTCTTTTTAAACTTAATTTTACTGAAATGTATTCCATTATGTTTGGAATAGCCACCCTATGAATATCAGGAAATGTGACATGCCATAGAAATATAAATTATAAGTGACTCAAAGAATAAGTGCAAAATTGTTTATATCATAATATAAGTATTCTAAATATGCTGGAATACATTCCTGGTAATATTAGATTTTTAAGTTTTAAAAAACGCGCTCAAGGAATGATTTAAAGTTGAAAAAATAACACATTGCCGCTGTACAAAAAGAAACAAATCAGAAGTATAAAAAATATAAATTAATATACTTTTTTAAATAATGACAATAATTTGAAAATTCAAAAAAAAATAATTTTAATATTTTAAAAAAATGAAGGTATATTACAAAAATTTAAGCCGGTGAAAAGTCTGCAAGAAAAGGTACCCATTAAATTTTATAAGACGTCAATGATTGATAGATAATTTTAAATTTGAATGGCTGATTAAATTAAAATATTTTGGCAAAATTATTATTAGTGTTAATAAACGGCTTAGCCAAATACGCAAACCTGAATCTTGCGGCTTGTATTTTTAAAAATTAGGTATAATAATTCTGAAAAGTAGAAATTGTTATATGTATTAAAAGGTTATTTATATTAGTGATCTGCATCGGACTTAATTTTTAAAGCCCGGCCCGAACCCGAAAATTTTTTTAAAAAATTTTGCCGGCCCGAACTACCGGTCCGAATTTATTTAAATATAGAAATTAATTTTTATAATTACTCAAAATAAATGATATATGTTATATGGCGTCTACTTTTCTATAAATAAAATAAAATATTTTTATTTTACATAAAAAATTCAACATAAAATTGATAAATTCAGAAATATTTAAAAAATTTCTAAGACCCGACCGGGCCCGAATTTTCTTAAAAAATATAAGGCCCGGGCCGGGCCTACTTTCGCAATCTCTAATTTATATATTAGCTTAACGGGAAAAAAAGATTTACACCTGAAATACCTAAATTTATATATATATTATTCATTTCTATTATACCACGCAATCGACAATGGATATAATGAGAAAATTTCAATATCCTTTAGAAGTGCTAACGACAGTTTGAACTTAACATCTATTTAAGTTTTCTCCCGCTTCAAAATAGCAAAAAATTTAACCAATAAAAATTCTTGGAAATGATAACTTATTAATATTTAATTTTATTCAAAGCAGGAGGCGAAAATATAATTTTATATAAAAATATGTTGATCATTGAAGAAAACATTATGATTTGTCTATTAATTTTTATAATAAATATGAAACATAAGAAAAAAGGTGTGTTTTTGCGAGTTCAAGCATTTTATTAAAAGTCATTAATTTACTTTATTTTTTTAAGCACCTAAATTATGTTTTGAGAACTTTATAATAATCTAAGGCAATAATCCATCAAATATTATGATCATATTTTATGCTAAAGGCCGGGAGGTTTTAATTAAAATCTTGTTCAACATTATAAAGTGTTTTTTTAAAAACTTTTTTCTCGTTTTTCCCGTCATGTTTGAATGTTATAATTAAACTTACAAAAAAATGTAATCTAAAAAAACATAAAAGCCCTAAGATATTATTATATAAAAAGTAAACGTTTACAATTTATATTATACATATCAATTTCAAATTATTAACAGCAATTTTTTTTTACCCTGGGGTAAAACATGTGCCTTAGTCCCAAACCAGCACCTTTTAGGGTTATAGATCTCCCAAAAATGATGATGAGTACGGCATATGGAAAAGTAGCGGTAAAATAGGCTGCCTTTAAATAAAAAAATAAAATAAAATAAAATAAATGCAATTATGTATATTTTATCAGATTCTAAGTCAATTATAGTAGACATATATTCACTTATATTAATAATAAGCAACTCTTGTTTATAAAAACAAATTAATTTATTATTTCAATTCTATAATGTTTAAGGAAACTTTTAAATTTATCTCAAATATTTATAAGAATGGAAGATCGAATTATCAGGAAATATAGGAATAAATCAATATTCAAAATATTTAAATTCATAAAACATATATATAATTTAAAATTTTGGCTCGGTTTTCAATTTCAAAAAAAAGGTCAAATCATCTTACTTAAGGCTTATTTTTAACTTGTAAATTAAATCTTTCAATTCAATTAATATAATTTAAAATGCAATTTGGATATATAAATAGTACATGGTTGGCAGGCGCGTAACCAATGGGGGGGGGTGGATCCCCCCCCATCTCAAATTTGACTGTTTTAATAAATATATATCATTTTAAGCTAATAAAAATTTTACTCCCCCCACCCCCTTCCCCAATCAAAATTTTACAAATATTTGAATATCAATTTTCCAACATAAAACTTATTTTTTATAAATAAATTTTTTTAAAATTTCCTTTCCTTGTGAGTACATTAACATTATTCAAAAATATTAATTAAAAATGGATAAATTTTTAGTCAAAGACAAAGATATTGAAATCAAATGGTATATAATTTATTATTAAATATATTTATTTTAAATTCAAAATTATTAGTTAGTGAGTTAAAATTAATAAGTATTTTTAATAATATTTTAATTATTAATAAATATCTAATTTTATATTTTTCATTTTTCTTTAGAACAGAAGATATACAAAATTTAAATATGTCTGATCATCTTGGCTCAATTTCCCGATATTTTGAAGTTATTTTATATTCTTGCATGTTTGCCTATTACAACGTGCACGAATGAAAGAACATTTTCAAACTTGAGAAGGCTGAAGACATTTTTACGAAGTACTACTTCAGAATCTCGGCTAAATGGATTAGCTATGTTAAATATTCATAGAGATTTAGTTCCAACGACGAACGAAATTCTAGATGAATTGGCAACATCCACACGAAAATTAAAAATTACATTATAGTTATAGTGTTTAATAAACTTTTTGATAATATTGTATTTGATAGAAGTTATAAAAACTTGCTTTTTAAATTATTTTCTAGTCAATATTTTATACACTGTGCACAATAAAAAAAAATTTATTCTACTTATATTGTATGAGAATTTAAGCTGAGGCTAGTTTTAAAAGCAAATTTTAAAATAAAATGACATTAAACTTTATTTCAACTTTACATTTAAAAAAACTTTATTAAATATAACATACCTAACTTAAAATAATAAAAAATATTAAAAATTAATTTAATAGAAAAGATAAAACATAAGACCCGGCCGAAGGCCAGCTAAGGGGGTTTGGGAGCGAAACCCCCCAAAAATTCCCCCCCCCCATAAGAAAATCCTGGATACGCCACTGAGGGTTGGGCACAATTATCCAAAAATTAGCATTTAACATTACTTGGAGAAAGATTATGGTTGCCGCTATTTAGTAAAAGCTCGTTTCGTTAAATAATTAAATTAAAATAAAATATATTTTTTGATTTACATATTTTTTGAAAAACATACACAAAAAAGGTCTAATTTTAAACTATTCTCGGGCTTTATTTGAATTAAAATTATCAATGATAGTGAAATATAATCACCGATATTTCAAAAATTTTATTTTAATAAGCTTTATGGCCTCGTATATTTTATTTCACACTAAAAGCCAAAAATAATAAAATGGATTATATATAATAAATTATTACAAGTTTATTCATATCTAATACAATAAAAGTATACAATTTTAGGTATTCAGATCAAATGGCTGATTTCATTTGTAAGTTTAACAGTTTTAATAAAAAGATTTTGAAAAAGGCGAAAATTTATAAAGTAATAAAAATAACCATTTTGTTATTAGTAGAAATGCAACAGTTACAGTGCTCTTAGTTATATTTCCAAATTAATATATAAATATATGAGAGTTAGCAACTTAACAATAACAATACCTATTATGTAACACTATATCTTTTTGCTCATCCCTAAGAGTTTATAAATGTTGGGATATAAATTAATAATTAAAACAAACTTAAATGGCGTTTTTAATATTTATATCATAATATTAACTCACTTGGCAAAAATTAGGCCTTATGAGAGTTGACAGGAATTTTATAAACCGATTTCTCCAAGTTAATAGTTTTATAATTGAGAGATTTGACTACTCGTAACGTTATGTAATTATTATATTTTTAGCCGTTTAAGCCAATTTTTAGCCAGCTAAACCAAATTTTAGCCGAAACTAAATAATTTGAAAGAATCTAATATAAATTAAAACGCCTTAATGTTAACGGATTTTCTCAAGCAGGCGTCGGAAGATTGCACCGAATTAGCCAACATTCCCGTTACCCAACGTAAAAGTATTAATTACACTTTTTATATTGTATAATTACCTAGTGTTTTTTTAAAGATATATTAATTTTTTTTAAATAGTATAATTTTCCTAATGTTTTTTTAAAGATTTATTAATTTTTTTAAAAAATCTGCTGATTATATTATTTTTTATTTACTGTTCTATGTAGCCAGGGGGGGGGGAGGTCTCAAATTTGCTTTTATCATTTTAAGTTAATAAAAAATTCCCCCTAACATACCCCCCTTTCCCCCAAAAATGTATACAATATATCACTATAAAAGAGAATTTGAAAAAAATTAATAAAGTTAATAACTTTTTAACAAAATGACCATTATTCAGAACTTATTATTTTTATATAAAAAATAAGTGAAAAATTATTTTTATAAAAATATAATATAGCCAAAAGCCTACAATAAGTTGGCCTAAAAACCTCCAATAAAATTCATGGCGAAATAATTAGCCTAATAGTGCCCTCCCCCCAACCATATGGAAATCATGGATAGCCTTATGTTAATGTTAATATCTTATTTGTGGTACAACTCAGGGAAATAACTGTTATAAAAGCTGATTTATTCAATTTATATTCGTCTATATATAATCGCATGGCCTCTCAGATTTAACGGGTTATCAATAGAATTGATTAAACTTTGTTAAAACCCAATATATCTTAACCTAGCCCATGTCTCTCAAACCTTAATTAACTCTAACCCATATCTTTCCATCCTTTAATCATACTCCTTACCTCAGATATTTGTTTAATAATACATTTCATGTAAAAAATTTCCTTCGAGTTTAGATATTATTATAATAGCTTATATAATAAATATATTCTTGCTCTGCACGGAGATTCAATCAGATTCTGTTGGATCTCGGACTTTGATTTTAGCATTTTAATTCGGATCAGCAGCAGGCCAGACGTGGACCTAGGAAGAATTTTAAAATTATTTCGTTCTTCTAACGTTTATATTTTTTAGTATAATTTGGAAAAAAAGATATTATGTAAAAAAAATCGAATAGACCCATTTTCTAAACTGAAATCTCGGATCATCGAAAAAAATAATATTTGGATTCGAATATAGCCGGACCTGAAAGAATAGGTCCAATGCAGGGCACTAAAATATATTAGGTATTAATGGTGTTCAATTAAGTAATTTTTGTTACCTTTCCACTCGATTTAATTCCCTTCATAATGCAAATGAAGACTGTGAACCACGATAAGGCCAAGCATAACATAATTCTCCAATTAAAGCTAGTCACCGTATCTATCCCCGACGACACATCAAGCGTATTTCGATACCAAAAATATTGAGTCGAAGAACTCTTTTGACATTCTGGCACAGGCTTTTTGACCGGTATCATGGGATAAGAAGATACGTTTATATTTGACTTAGGATTAACTAAAATTAACGTATTTTGTTTAGAATCAAGCAATTGTGATAATTTGATATCATTCAAATTTAGAATTGTGTCCCTGTTTACCCTAGTTAAATTCGAAAAAGATAGATTTGAGCTAGATTTATCGTCAATGATGCTATTTAAATAGTCCGTGACTAAAGGTGATGTGGCAATTTTTAGATCCCAATTGTTCGTATTAATTAAGTAAGATGAGTTCCCTATATTTAAACCATTTAAATTTGGTAATAAATTTTTGTGATCTGTTAAATTAACGTTGGATTGATTGTACTCCAAATGTTTAATGCTCATTAAAATCATAGAGTACAAAGTTGTGTTTAGTATAGTGCTATCACCCGGTGCGAATGTTGATAGAGAATAGTTATTCCTATTTATCATATCAGCTGGATTGTATAAAAATAGTTTATCTTCTAATTTATTCAAGTTGGAAGTGAGAAATGATAGTGTTAAAGGGGTAACAGGATCAACATGTTGCACACTTATATTCGGATCAGGAATATAGCTTATATATGTAGGACAATATGCCCAAGGTAATGTCCTGCGAAAAGACATGAATATATAATACAAGCACCACGCTATTATCACATTATAGTAAAGTCCTATAATGAATGAAACTATACAGGCTGTGATTCCGAGGCCTCCTAAGATAGGGCTGATTTCATTCCATACCCCTATACTTCCTTTTCTAATTCTTTGTCCTATACCTAGTTCGAGGTAAAATAGTGGAATACCCTCGAGAAACAACATCAAAAAATAAGGTATCAGGAATGCCCCTAATAGTATTTTTTTAAACAAAAATTTAAGGATTAAAGAATTGTAAAAATTATTATCCCACATCAAAAGTGCGTCGTCGGCCAATTCACGTAATCAATGAATACGCGTGTTGACTTAGATATGTGCAGGTATTTTATATAATCATCCTATTTTAAAAAAAAACACGTTAAATAAATTATTTATAGTTGCTAAATAGCAAAATAATTTGTTGAGGACGTTTAATATGAAAAAACTGATTTTGTCGAAAAATATATTCTATTATGTATAAGTTATTATTTCAGACAATTTAATCATAAATTTTTGTGTCATTTTTTTTATACTGGCATTAGGCAAATCAATGTTGATTGATTACATGAACTGACTATTTAATAATATATTATATTTTGCAAATAATTTTTAAGACTATACTAAAATATGAAGAAAAAAGTGTTATATTTACCTCCACCGTTTTGTTGGCATAGATAAGGAAACCTCCAAATATTTCCTAAACCCACAGCGTAACCAACTATTGTCAATAAATATTGCAATTTGGATCCCCAAGCTGCCCTGGCAATTTCTGGTTCATTATCCAACCCATCATCAGGATCCAGCCAATTGATCGTCTGGAGGTTGAGCTCATTTAAGGAGGAATCCTTGGAAGAATTTAATCGAGATTTTTTTTGGACTGACATTGACGATACAATTTTGATAGATTTGGAATTTTTTTAATGTGGTAACTAGACTACTACGAGTGGTTTCATTACTCTGAGTAAATTATATAGTAACAGGTTTTTAATTGTTTGAATTTTCCAAAATTTGTTCGACATTTGATACCTTGATTTATTTATTCTATTTGATCTTGTACATTATGTATATTTATCTGTTTAAATTTAAAATAAATATTATTTTTTTAATACTTAAGTGTTAGTGTTAAAGTCAATAAAAAAAAATAATGATAAAAATAATCGATAAAAATAAAAATTATTTTTCCGCATTATTTATATGAGTTTATTTCTATTAGATTCGATTCTGTTTATTTACTTTTTCAGCTGGTTTTTCCCAATCATTTAATCCAAATGAATGAATGAATAATTTTTTCACAAAACAAATTAATACAAATTAATTTCAAAAAGATTAAACTGTTTTAAAAATAAGTATAACACAAAATTAATTTTTTGAAAAAAATTTTTTTTTTGAAATATAATATTTTTCTGAGGTTGAATAAAAATATTTTTTTTTAATAATTTATTTATCAACTTATTATCTCTTATTATTTATTAAGTAAGAAAATATATAAAAATTTAGCTCTAAAACATTCGAAATATGCCAAATTTATATTTTCTCATATTTATCAAAATGATGGATAATAATACAAGATAATTATTTAATTTTAAAATGTGAAGATAGTATTAGATCTATTATAAATAAAGCTAACGGTTTTTTGGGACGATCTTATGAGAGACCGAAAATCGCATAACATAAAGAGGTATTGATGCGTTTCAGAATTTTTCTAGAGAAAGAAAAAACTAAAATAATATTGAAGATTAAAAAGTGAATGTCAGAAAAAATTAAGCTACCCATTCATTGGCGTATTTAAGGGGTGGGGTCATTCGGGCATTTGACCTTTTCCCCCACCCATTCAAAATATTATTTTAATTTATAAATGCTGAAATATAAATCTTTAAATCAAAAGTTAAAAAAACATTAAGAAAGAACGAAATAAATATATTTTTCAACGATTTTGTTTCTATAAATATCTTTTTTTCCTTGATAAGATTTGATTAAAATCGGATGTCTATAAATTATGAATAGTGGATATTATCATTTTTAAAATTAATCTTATGGCTGATGTAAAAAGATATAAAAAACTAAATTGGTTTCAGGTGTAAATATTTTAATGATTATTAATGTAATTTTGAAACCAATGATACGAACCGCAACAAATATCCGTTATATTTAGCTAAGAATTGGTTCAAGTTCGGTTCCTTAATATAATGGTTCGGGTCCAGTTCTTAATAAATAATAATGGTTGGGGTTGAACTTTCAAACCTTCAAAGCCTAGTTCGAACCCTTTCGCGGGCAAACAAATCATGTATAGAAAAAAAGTGACACATTTTTTTATTTTTCTTATCAAAATCCATACATGAAGCAACTATTTTAATTTATTATTGTATATATGAATATGCCTAATTTATTAGTTGTCGCGAAGAAACAATATTTATTAACTATAAGATAATTATATAATTATTTAAATTATTTTCTTTAAATAATACTATTTAATCTTACAATTATTTTCAAACTTAAGAACACTTTTCAATATTTCAATATTAAAGCTGGTACCGCCAAATTGCAATATACATATAATATATAAAAATACCGACTGATATAGATTGATCTAAAGTTTTAAGAATCTTTAAAACAATTAGAATAGAGGATAGTATAGGTTTCCTGGTTCAAAAACATTTCAAGGCTTAGATTCGGGTTGAGTTCGATAAATAAGGTTTATCAATTTGGTTTTGATCTTTTATTTTTATTCCGACAGACAATAAAATTTTATTTGTTTAACCCTGTATATGTATTGCATGAATAATTAGTTGAATGCAGAAAATTGGCTCTTATTTGTGGCTATCTTTTACTTTCTACAACAACCGTGATATAAATTAATTTTATTAGATATAGATATTGTATATGATGTGTAATTAGATCATATAATAAATAACTTGTTTTATTTTATATGAATTTACTATATTATTTATATATTTAATATTTTAGTTAGACAGCTAATATATAAAGAAATGAGGATATTGTAATTTATTTCAATTAGTATTAATCAAAATATCAGCTAGAAATTCAAATTTATCAAATGTTCCCGGGGTGGCATATAAATTTTATGAAAATCAGAGATTTGCGAAGCACTGCTATTTTGTCCTGCCCGGCCCCGCCCAAATTTTTTTATGTACAAATTGCACATTTCGGTTTGCGGGCAGGGCTTTCGGGCTGGCCGGGCTGAGATTTGCACATCTATAATTTAAATTTTAATTAGATTTTCTTTTTCTATTACAAATTTATGCATGTTCTACAATCATTTTTTCCCATTTTTTTCTAATATTGTCATTTTGTATAAAAAATTATTTTGATAATGAATGATTTATTTTCCATGTATAAATATTCACACTATGCGAAAAAAAGAGGGAGAATTTACAATATTTAAAAAAAATAATATTATTCTATTCTATAAATCAAATCGGTTTCAAAAATCGACCTAATCGCCGTTTAACAAAACTTAAAGCAGGTTTTCGTTCATAATTCGCAATTAATTGAGATGGGGGGGGGGGGGCATAGATTTATTTAGAATGATCTGATTCCCTAATTTTCCAGTTATGGTCCTCTCTAAAATCATGATTATAAAAGATTTCGATACTAATTATTAGAATTTGGTCTTGTATATATCTATTAATATTACCCATATTCCATTGTCTATAAAATATTATATTGATACATATACTTAGTTGATTTTTTAGTTAACTTCATCATAACATATTAAAAGCGTTGACAATTCAATTGCCTATCATAGCGCAAGAAATTCCAAAGTAATGCTATAACCTAAATAACCTTTTCTTTTGTTACCAGACATTCCGTTTCTATTGTTTAATTCGGACTTTAAACCCTCTTTTTTTAAAAACTACCGATAAAAGCCTAATCTAACACAAATCACAGGTTAACCAAGCGAGGGCTACTATTTATGGCAAAGAAGCTTATTTGATTACTATCGCTCTAATTGCATTTCAATTCATGGATCATTCAGTCCTATTGACATAATTGTGTTTTTATATTTTTTTGTAGATAAACGACCAAATTTTATTAAAATGCAATAAGACAGACTTATTTTTAACAATATTAGTGGATTCACGCGGTCGCCCCAGATATTGCATATATAATCCCTCGTAGCACGGAATTACCTAGTTGGCTTTAGAAAAAACCTAGTCCTTACTAGATTCGCACCTAGAACTATGGGATTGATACACGCACTCACCTACTGGGCCATAGATCAACTTGGAAACAACAACTATTTTCGTATATAAAGTTAAAATTACTATGCTAGCTAATATTTTAATAAAACTGAAAAAATCAATAATGTTCTATATCATTATCCCTATTAAAGTATGTAGGTTTCAATAAAAAAACAACAACCAAAAGATTTCTACATTTGGAAACTTTAGCAGGCTTAAAATTTAATTATGCCACCCGTCTAAATTACTCCATATTAGAATAAAGTTAAATAACTGTTGCCAAGTCTCTGTCTTTATACAGGCACGATAATTTGTATATTTCCTTGGTTAAGGTCTAGATTTGATGAAGGCCATTTCAATACCTTTATTTTATTAACTAATAATAATATTTTGTCGATTTTGATTAATTACATGGGTTATCGTTAAGCAGATATTCCCCTTCAGAATATATCTTTTTTGATTGGATAAGCTATTAAGGATATTCTTAGTAATTTTAAAATGTTACAATGCCATTAATAATCAAAACATCCCCACACCCTTGCCAAATATGTAACCTCAGATAATTATACTTTTAGTAATTTCCTAGCCCATTTTATTCAACTTTTTTTTTATCTTGCCGAGATTATTATTGGTTTCTGTATTCTCTCTTAAAACGAATTTCATGTGCAAAATAATAAATTAATGTTCTTATCTTACAAAAAAATAAAGCAATATTAAATTCTTCTATTAACGAGTCATTTTTAAGCATTAGCATCTGTTCTCGTAAATATCAATTTTAGCTAATACTTCCTCTACACATCTCCCACCCTCCCCTTCCCCAAAATTGTATACAATATATCATTAAAGAAGAATTTGATAGAAAAATTGTTATTAACTTTGCAAAATAACGACTATAATTCAAAATTTTTAGAAAAAAAGTGAAACCCCCAAATTATATTTTATAAAGACCTCCAAGATTTGGTTCCCCTCTAAATCACTAACAAAAATAGCTAAAAATTGAGAATCTTGCTTATATCTCCTAGAAAATTTTTTAAAGTAAATTTGAAATTAATATCATTAGATGCTAAAGTGTAAACACTTGTATTTAAGTTGAGAATTTTAAAAAAATCGCTAAAAATTGAGGAAATATTATCCATATTCCCAGTTTGATTTTCAAATTGGTAATCAAGGGGAGTAATAATAATATTTCCACTATTTTTAGTAATTTTTCTGATAATTCGACTTAAATACAAGTGTCTACACTTTAGCATCTAATATCAATTTCAAATTTACTTTAAAGATTTTATAGGAAATACTAAAACTTAAGTGGAAAACTATACCTAAAGTGCTCCCATTCCTCTTGCCAAAATCCTGGTTACGCCTTTGCTTTTATAGAACCTCCGAGAGAACCAAATTAGAATTACACTTATTTAGGATATCTCCCAGTTTATAATATTTATTTTAATTATTTTAACTAGAACTCGATTATATATTTCAAATATTTTCCTTCTAACTCTATTCAGAAATATGTATGCTATTTAAACTTCCAATAATTTCTTGAACCCAGCATTTTGAAATTTTTGTTCAGTAGCTATTTTTATTAGCGATTTCGCTTTTGTATATATCAATAGCTAATTTAAGAGAATCTGCCTTTCAACACACTTGGCGAGTCAAAAGAATTAACATATTAGAAAAAAGGTTAAAGATTTTAATTATTTAAAAGTGATTTTTAAAACAATTAAACTAAAAATAGATCTGCTGGAATTATCATGTCCTATTAGATTTACTCGGTAGATTTTTTTATTAAGTCTAGTCCCAATTTTTACTTTTGTCATAATTGGAAAATGACAGGAGAAAAAAGGACTCTTAGTAATTATACGTAAAAGATTGTACCATAATGTTCAAGAAAGAAGGCCAGTTGACCCTTAATAAAATTTCGGACTTTTTTTAGCCTCCAATAAAAAAAATGTAATTTTTATTTATTTAAGAGCTTTTATACAGATTTCTTTTTTAATCCTAATTATGCTACATACAAGATGAAACTATGTATTTGATAAATGGTATTATGTGACTAAAAGAAGTTATTGTATACACATATAAGCGTCAATTAATATTTTTCGGAAAAGATGAGATGTATCCAAAGTCCCAAATTAAGAATTTACTGAAGATATTAAAGTTAAAAGCAGGCTCCAAAATGTTTGATATTCGGGCCCTCATAAGACCATTATTAAATATATACCTGCAGCAGGCCATGCATCGTAGGCGTCACTAACCTTTACAATCTTAGGGGATTCAAAAAATAAATTTTAAGATTGTTTACAAAATTACCCTTTTTAAGGTATAAAGTTTTCAAAATGCCCTTCAAATTTTTGACGGGGCTTGAGCTCCTATTCACGTGACGCTACTGCCATGCATATTTACCTTGACTATAATGAGTGGCCAAAATATTTTAAAATATTTGTACCTCTAATTTTTTAAGTAAAAAAATAATACATTATATCTAATAAATATTGATATTTATTGACAAAATAAAAATATAATTAAAGTCATATTTATATTATAAATAGGATAAAAAATAAGATTTTCTATATAAAAATAAAATTTGCAAGTTATTTTTTTACAATTAATTATATTTGAATAATTTTTTTAAAAACGTATTTTTAAAAAAAAAACAGTCTCAATAGACATTTTTTTATAAGTCATCGCTAGCGTCTACATAAGTGGGTGGGGGGGGGGCAGTTTGCTCCCAATTTTTTAAGAGGGAAAGGGGTAGGCATATAAGGAGGTAGGCTAGGGGTAGAATAGATTTATTAAGGGATTATTTATTAAATAATAAAATAGGGCAAAATGTAATGCTGTAAAAATTATACTTTTAATATAGACCTATTATAATACATTGATATTGTTAAACATCGACCATCTATATACTGTATATAACCATGATCTTATTTTCCAAATAAAATTATTTTGGATAATTTTCTGCTAACCTTTTAAAATTTATGTAGGGATAAGGAAAACCATTATAATTGAAAAGGTGCAATTAATAATGTAAAAGCATCGTCACCGAAGGAAGCGGATTTTTTTTGAATGGGGGGGGGGGGGGATAAGTTTAGGTTTGCATCCAGTAAATATCCTGACATGTAGACGCTGGTTACCGTTTCTGTATGAAATGTAATTTAATTTATTCCAATTTTTAAATTTTCTTAGAAGAACTATTTCATTAGACATTTTTTGTCCAGCATTTATTCATTTAATTCCATATAATTTTGCATTTAGCCAAGAACTACCATTATTTATATTTCTGTTCTTTTTATTCTGTACAGAACTTAATCTTTTACAGTTCTCATCTAAATTTTTATTTTTTAGCTTAAAACAACTATTTATAATATTTTTTTAATTATCTTTCTTAAATGATATGTTACTCTTTTAAATTATTCACGTGTACATCTTTGGGTTAACTTATTAAATCTACTTAACAGTATATATTAATTTTATATTTACTAGCATCCGAATTATATCTTAAAAATTTTAATATAAATAGGATGAAGAATTGAATATATTTTAATTATATAATGTTACAAAATATAATATATTTCAGAAATTTAAGTTTTTATTTTCAAGTTTATACAAAGATGTCAGTATAAAAAAGTTAAAGATTATAAGTAGATATTATAATATTTAGTGTGATTCATTTATTATTACAATTAGCTATAATAATATATGTATATATAGATCCAGATATCACATCATAATAGATGCTATGGGTGTTAGATAGTTTACCTTTAACCAATATTATATTAATCAAAAATATATATAAGCATTATAAATCATATCTAATTAACGAATATACTAATTCATAATATACAAATAATGTAATACCTCATATTCATAAATTTCCATAATATCCATAGTAACTATATATCTATAATTTCCAAATTACTATATTAACCCTTTATTAATTGGGAAACCTGCATATCCTAGAGACATCCACGACTTAAAGTTTCTCCTAAAAAATCTTTGTCTTTGGTCTCCATTTACCTTTACCGTAATATTATCTTTTTTTAACATCCACTCTTCTCCCCCAGATTAAATATTGATTTCTTAAAGAGCATCAATATTTGCCTAGCTTCGATTAATCTCACCCAGAGTATCAATATCGTTTCCCTTGTTGATTTATCTCCCACCGGAGCATTAATATCGACGCATTTTCTACCAGAGTACACATACCGATTTCATTGATGATTAATCTCCCATCGGAGTATCGTTATCGAGGCCATTGTATATTTACAACAAGTCCTTTAACCAAAATACGGCTACATCTAGCTCCCGGAAGCTCCATTTGTTTTTGCATAGATCACGTGATTTGAGAGCCCTCTTATAACTTTATGTCAAAATTAGCCAGGTTTATTTATCAGTAACCTTTCTTCTAAATTTGAAAGAAATTAATGTAAATTAAAACGCATCAATGTTAACGGATTTTCTTCGGCAAGCGCTTGAAGATTGAGCCAAGTTAGCTTGTATTTAGCCATCACCCAATTATAGCAATTATACAAACTTTATAAAAAATGTAAATTGATGATTTTTTTATATTTTGACTTCAGAATAATATTTTGACTTCATAATAGGCAGGAAAAAAATATGCTTATTTGTACCCCCCCCCCCCACCTAAATAAAAACGTTCCAAAACTATTCTAAATATCCCATTTAGGCATCTTGCCGAATTTAGGAACTAATGTTATCAATTATACTTGAAGGTACATTTCTAAAATTAGAAAAAAATCAATGCATGTTTAAAAAATAGCGATGAAATTAAACAAATCCAACCAGAAGGTTCGTATCTAATTCTGAACTAAGATGGTATAATGAGCGCTCGACTAACAATATAATAACTCATTTTAATTTTATTTTTTGGTATTTCTAAGCCCTAGGTAGTCCCGATTAAAAAAAAATTTTAACACTAAGATGAGTTTCTCAGAAAATGCTATTGCATTTTGTTATTTATATATTTTTGGTAAATATTTTTGTTTGAACTATTTAGAATCACATTATTCACCTGAACCCCGGATCTGCGCTCGGGGTTCGTGCTCAGAGCTAGTTTACTCATTTTTGACCCAAACCCCGGGTCTGGGTTTTACTTAACCAACCAATTAACAATACTATCTGAAACCTTTATTTTGTTGAATAACCTGCCATCTTTTTCTTTTATTAATGACAGATAAATAAGCGTCTGTACAATCATTAAGAAAGAGTAAAACGGCCTGTTATCTAAAATAAAAACAAAAGAAATTTTTTAAAAAAAATAATGCATTTAACTCCCAGAGGAGTTACCATTAGATGTGTCTTTTTAATTGATATCTAAAATAATATATATAGATTAATTTCCTTTAATATAATATATTTACTTCAAATCTGTACATCACTGTAGTTAAAAGATTATGTTTGACCCATTTTCTAATTTTCCTTGAATATTAAATTTTACTTCAAATCTGCACAACATTGTAATTAAAATTACATGTGACTAATTTGAATTGAATTTACTTGAATACTGTTGAGTTGAATTTAGAATAGTATGATTTGAAGAAATAGTATACTTTATTAGAAGGTTGGAAAACTGAAAATCACATATATATAATTAAATTTACTTGAATACTGTTGAGTTGAATTTATAATAGAATGATTTTATGAAACACTGTGCATACAAAACATATAAATAAAATATTTATTTTTATATTTTTATTATTTTATTTAATATTTTTAATTAAAAATAAATTAATACTTATCAATGACATGACATAACGATGAAATGGTAGATCGGACAATAATAATATAGAAATGATCATTATGAATCACATTTAATACTAATTCATAATAAACAAATAATATATTACAATATATTCATAAATATATTTTCATAATATCAATAATTACTATATGTGTATAATTTCCAAATTACTACAGTTATTATATATTAAATTATATTAATACGCTCCGTAAATCTTAAAAGCTTATATATATATTAATATTTTATATATATTTATCTTGTATTATAAAAGTTGTCCTTATTATTCCGTAATCCTTATTTTAAGAACACGGATTTAATGTCATTATTAAATATTCCAATAATTATAATTTATATTCCATGATTCAATGTCTTTATTATATATTCCAATGATTATAATTTATATTCTTCCATATATTTTTTATATAAATCTTGCTGAAAAATAAAGAATAGCGATCCTTTTACAAATATTGCTCTTTATTCCTTTCTTTGTCCAATATATTTATTTCTTTTTCATAATGTCAATAAAATAAATGGTTGAGGATATTTCATATATATATTGAAAAAATTGAATAAGATCATCGTTTATTTATTATTACCATGATGTGTTAAGACAGAATAATTAAACAGAATAAGACAGAATTATATTATCATAAATCACATTTTATTTTTATTATAAATTACATTATTTTTATTCACCCCTTTAACCAAAAACAATTTTTCTATTTATATCTTTTTCTTAACAATAAAAAAATCAATTATGTGAAATACAAATTGATATTAAAAAAAATGTATGGTCAAAATGATATATAAAAAAATGTTAATATAAAATTTTCACCGATTAAGTTATACAAATTGATATCAAAAAAATAAATCAATTGCCAAAAAAAATAAAACGTTGATATAAAATAATCGATCAACATATTAAACATATATATTTATTTAAACTTTTAATACATATAGATTTATTTAAAACTTTTAATACATATAGATTTATTTAAAACTTTTAATACATATAGATTTATTTATTTAAACGTTAATTACAACAATAACTGTATAAATATTTATGTAAAACTTAAATACAACAATTAGGATATTAAAATGTCATTACTAATATAAAATAATTTTATGCCAATAAGAGTTGGAGAGAATTATTTACACAATATTTTCTTTTTTAATATGGTTTATTTAACATTCTCAAAATGATCTATATTCAGATCAGTCATGCTTTAGCAATCGATTTGAAAAGTGATAGATCAGCTGTGGAATTAGTAATTACACTTTTTTCGGAATGTATAAAGTTTTTGATGGTATAAAAGACAAAACATATAAATACTACAACAATTTAAAATTGAGTATCAACGAAGATGAAGATAAAAATATGGAAAATCTGGAAATTACTGAGGAATATAAATTAGAGAATAAAAAAAACGCCTCTGTTGGAAATAAATTTAACATTTTAAATTATGATATAAAATTAGAAAGTTATATTAAAATATAAATGTTTTATTTGTATACTTGATAGATTTTGTTGGGGTTGCAAATAAGGCATCTCATTTGTTAAAAACTACTCTAATAGACACTGCAAATATAGTAAAATCAAATTTAGAAGAAAATGTAACAATGATAACTTATGACCTAATTTAGACAAATTTTAATTTAGACTATTCTAGCTGATTTCAATAAAGAGCAACAAAATTTTGAAAGTGAGCTCAAAAAAGATGGTACTAAAGAAAGTGAAAATTGTTCATCTTTATGGCAGGGACATCCTAAAAAAGAGATATTAAAGAAACAAATTTTAGCCCTCTCTCAAGTTTCACATAAAAATAATATAATTTTATATAATTAACATTCTATTTTTTGATCAATAATTTGTTTTATACAGTGCTATAAGCTTCAAAAAAGATCATTACTACCAGTGGTCTTTTGCTTAAAAATGTGGGGGGGGGGGGGGCTAATATATTTTTTATATACTATACAATAATATGATACATATGAAATTGGTAAAAAAATTCTTACTAATAGAAAACTAAGATAAACTGATGTAATAACTAGTGGAGACTTCATTAAATTTCCTCAAAAAACGTTTCTTGATGAACAGCCTAATGTAATACCTATACCTGCTTCATTTCTGTCATAACTATTTCTCTAACTTCAGATGAACTTTCTAATAATTGAATGAGATCTTAGCTGATTTGCATGTTTCCTCCTTTCAAATGGAAATCATGATTTTGACTTAGTTTTTCATTTGCCTTTTCAATCTTATGTTCACCTTTGGTCCAGGTTTATTTTTCTAGCATCCAGAACATCTTTTGTTATAATTTTCTATATCCACATTTCACCTGGGTCACCAACAATACAATCTAAAAATTGATTTCAATATATTTTCACTAATGTATCCCCGATGAATTAATTCTGCACCACATTCCTTATTTTATTAAGTATCACCAATCTTCCATTTCAATCTATAATATCTTGGTCATCATATAACTCTTCCCTTCCATTTTAAAAACTAAAAATTTCTTTATCTCATTACAATCAAAACTCACCAACTTTGCTGAATATGCCATGCTATATTTTTTAATGTTAAGCCCTGATTCATTTTTTCATAAACTATTTTCTGACAAATGTGTGTCATCTAAATTTATCAATCAATCTCCAAAGCATGTTGAGAATCTTGATTCTCTTCCATGTCCAATATCAGAAGCCTTGATGCATTGCAATCACATTTTTTTTATCATAGGATAATAAATGCTGTGATCCTTTTATTATTGCATACAATAGAGGGTTAGAAAATGTATTTTGTTATTTCATAGAGATATTGCACATAAGTCTCATTCTAAACTATTTGTTTAAAATAAAAATTTGAATTTATTTTTAGGCCCATCCCTGGTCTAATCCATTGTTTGTCCCAGTTCGAATCATACTTTTATCAGGAATGGGCCTGCTAATCTCTGATAAATATTTTATAAATTATATTCGAATATGTCATAAAAATTTTATTTTTTGGCCTTATCTCAATCAAAAAATGTTTTTTATAAACCAATTTTAAAAAATAAAATTATTATGCTTCCAAGTTCCAAGCCAAAATATGGTCTTCATAGATATGTCACTTTATGATATGAATACTGCTAGTTTTATTTAAACGATAATAAATTTTCACAAATTATAAAAATGTTTATCATAAATTTATTTAGGAGTATAATGTCAATATCATCGAATTTTGAGACGAAATTAATGCCAAAATAAATATAAATTTTTCAAAAAAAATATTCATATTTAAATATTACAAATAAAGCTGCATTTTTAGTAAACATGATTTCTCTTCTCTCATATTTTATATTTTCACAAACAATAACACGCTATAATCGCCTCGATTTTACTTATAACACCTTACTCTAACTGAAGATGTTTTTGTTCATTGCAAATATATAAAAAATTATGACAGTATAAAAAAATTTAAAAATTATTAAATTGAGGGTGAGTGAAATAAATATAGAAAATCTGATACGACCACTAATTTGATTTAATCAGCACAGTTTTAAGTGCAATTACAGTGAAAATTCCTTAAGCTAGAGAATAGTTTTGAAAATGATTAACAAATTAGTATAGTTGAAACTTCTCTCTTTCGAGATTTTTTTCTGATCATTCTTATGAATCATTAATGAAAAAATTTTAATTATTTTTTTACGTATGCATTTTTAAAAAGGATGCAAGGAATTTTCTTCGAAACCCCCCGGAAGGTTGTGATTTTCAATTCGATTTCCACCAAAATGCCCCATATGCCATGTGCATGCTAAATGAAGACCCTAAATTGTCCCTAATGCGATTTAAATTGGTTCCTACTAAGTAAAATTAAAACACGAAGGAAAAAATTATATTATCATTTTAATCTCTGTTATACTTCATCCTCATTTGCTTATGTTATTAATGAAGGTTAACGGTCCAACCAAGATTTATTCTGAGTCGGATAAAGACTGTGAAATAACCATCACTACCTATAATTTCTAAATGTTCACATAATTATTTCAAATGTGTTTCTTAAATTTAATTACTACCTTTTAAAAATATAGAGTCAAAGAAGAGATATTCTGGAGAAATTACTTTTACCGGGTTTCATTGATCAAGCAATCGATAAATCTATATGAAGAAATAAATAACAATCCTCCAACTATCAAGGAATTGGACAATAAACCAATTAATCTTAGCGAGAAATCTAAAAAAACGGAGACACCTTCAGGTTATATAACAATTAAAAGTTTTCATTTTAAGCTTATTGCTACTATATCCCCTAAAAGCCTTGTAGCACAATCAATGATTACTTATGTTTAATTACATTATTATTTAATTTCGAACATATCTCTGTATACATAACTTTCTTATGTCTTTAAAACATTGGTTCTACATTTATTATTAGGAAGTTTCCATATAGAGGCTAGAATGTAAATCTTACATTATATATATTTTTAAACTTATATTTAAAATCATTGTCCCTATGAAGCTTTTGTGCTTTTTTTCACATGCATTATGGATCTATATATTATACTTATAAACTCATAATTTTATAAATCTAGATTAATTATGAAATGTTTTTTTCCCATTGCCCATCATTTCACCAATTTTTAACAAAACCATATAAATCAAATATCTTAAATTACTTGTAAAGGTTTCACTAAAATATACAAAGAAAAGATGATATAATTCATAATTTAAAATATAGAGGGAACGGAAGATGAATATGATATGGCATCCAACCCTCCAACTGAGTTTATAAGCGATAATATTATTGATGAGGATACTCTCTACGAAAAAGATGGCTCGCATGACAAGAAAACTAAGTCAAACACGACTAAAGTCAAAAGTAAAAATTATGATTATTTAGAATTTAGCTATGAGTTTTGTTCAGGTATCCTATCCTGAACCATTAATTAGTTTCTATACGAACTTGACCAACCGTTAAGAATCCATAAACATTTTTGAACCTCATGATTCTATGCTTATAAGTGAAAGTTATTACTGGTATATTGTTAAAATTCAATTTATATCCGAATTGGTTTTTTGTAGTGACGATTTTTATAAATTTTGTATATTACTATTTTACAACATTTTTAAAATATTTTTGAGTTCCTTTTTGTATATTAAAATTTTTAAAAAGCTTATAATAAGGATAAATTAAATCCACTCTATAGATCATTTACACATAGTATTATAAATGAGACCTTTATATGTGAAGTTGAAGATTGTGATATTATGAAAAGTCTTGATGGTGCAAATCTTAAGTGTTACATCAAAAGAAATAATTCTTTAGAATTCTCGAAAATTAACAAAATATTACAATAAAAAACGAAATAAAAATTAAATAATATTTTAGATAAACGTATTTTTTATCATAATTAGGTCCCTTTAACTGAGGGAGAAGAAAAATCATTAACTAGGGAACATATATTAAAATATAGTATAACATGAATTTAAAATATGTTATAAGAGTGGAAGATTCTAGTATGAATTAACATCAATGAATGGATTTTTATCTAAAGTTGATTCATAAAGTTTTGTTTTAAATAATGAAGTTATAAACAAAATCTATTTGAACGATCAGAAAATATTTTAGTTAATTTTTTTAAAGATCGCCCAAATAAAGAAATGAATATCTTGAAATATTGGCAAAATCAGAGTAATCGATACCTCCAATTATATAAATTTTCTAATGTTATTGACTGCCGGTTACTCAAGCATGGAAAGTTTTTCAACAATAACATTTATCCTTTCTTCATATTTGATTTTTGAATGCCCCCTCTTGTAAAATTAATAAATTTAAACCTGTTAAATTTTTGAACCAATTTTTTAAATATAAAGACCTATAAATAAAAATTATGTAATAATAATTTGAATACCCATTGGAGGAGTTCACATCTCAATTTATTTCACAAAATGAAAAATTTTAATGAAAATATATTAAAATTATAAATTTTAATAAAGAAAAAATGAAAAGTAAAAGTTATAATCATAATAATCATCCGCGAATAAAATAATCTCTTATATCTTAAATTATCTTCTAATTTACATAACTAAATATAAAAATATCTATACCCTTTACATCATGTGTTGCTTCTAACCATGGCTCTAAAATGTTCTCTTTCGTTACTTCTATGACCGTTTGCCTAGATATCGATTCTATTGTTACTTTATCCTAGCAATTGATCCTAGTTTTTTGTTTTATACAAAAGCCAAATATACCAAAATAATTTAAATAAATATATCAAATTCGACAATCCTTTTACCCTTAGTGTAGCCTAATCCCCTATTTTTATTGAACTATTTCATTTGCCTGTAATCGTCCTATATCTATATCTTGTCTACCCTGTATAATGCTAGATTTATACCTAAAATTATCTTGATAAATTTGTACCTAAAAATCTTTTGTAGGAATTTAAAATTGAATTAGACAAGCTTTTATTAAATTTAAGTAAAATGAATTGAAAAAATAACTGATTTGGATTATAAAAAGATATATATTTTTATATGAAGAGTAAATCAATTATTGATATAAAAAAGTAAATTATCGATATCAAAAAGTTAATATGTTTTCTTGTTGATATGAAAGTAAATTGGTATGTAACAAAATTACTTTTCTTGGTAACTAAATAATATAGATACAATATCCTAAAGGCTTAATTTTATACATTATATATGAAAATATATAAAGCATCTTTTAATTCTAAATTTATACTAGAAATCTCCTTTTTTTTCTTTTAGTGCCTTGCACATTTATACTTTGTGATTATTGAACTCCCTCCCAGCTTTTTTCAATAAAAACCAAATTATCGCTTTTCAATAAAGATTATATTGTTATCATCATTTTACAATCTAAGCTTTCATTTTTCAAGAAAATCTATATTATTATTATCTTTTCATAATCTAAGCCTCGTTGTTTAATAAAAACCATATTATTGTCTTTTACAAACTAATCCCACGGCACGTCTTTCTTTATTCCTTTTTTAAACTTCATATTTTACTTTTAATTTTCATACTCTTTGAAATCCTTCTTACAACTCTTTTAACTCTCTTATATTAATTAAAAATCAAAACCAATCCTTTAGGGATCAATTATGGAATTTTTGAACCAGTTTGTTGAATAATAAAGTATCTACAAATAAAAATTTAGAATTCACATCTCAATTTATTTTATAATATAAAAAATGTAAAAGAAAACGTATTAAAATTATAAATTAAAAAAAAAGAAAACAGGTCAAAATAAAAAATATATAAAGTTTAAAAAAATGAAAAAGTAAAAGTCATGATCATAATAATCATCTCACGAATAAAATAAGCTCTATCTCATGATAGTCTATACATAGTAATAATTCGCCAAATATACATCATAAATTTTAATGAGCTACAATATAAATTGTAACAGAACTAATAAACAAATTGAAAATTTCTAGATTATTTTTTTAAATTTTCTGAAAATATTGTTAAACTTTGTAAAGATGCCCTAAATTAGCTAAAAAATATAAAAAATGGCAACATTATTAAAATTTATAATGAGTAATGGCTCCTGTATATAGGATACACTAAATATAATTAAGGAAAACCGGGGTAAAGCGATAACCGGGGTAACAATGTTAACGCGAATAACATTTTAACTCTTAACCATAAATACCTTAAATTTGGTGTGAAGATGTATTTTTATATCTAGTTTCTTACTATCTTTTGAAAAACTTTCCTAGTTAGAATCATAATTTAAAAATTAATATATTCCTTCCCCTAGAGCAAGTGGCCCCGCGGGACTACTAGGATTCCATGGACGGGTTGTCGTTCATCCATTTATGGATACCTGAATCTGCGGACATCAGCGAAGCTGCTACATCTTATGTGATTTCGGGGGTTGACTGGCAACAGTGGCATCATCAGGAAACGAAGGCATGCTCGAAGTGTAGTTGTCGCTAGATCCGCTAGATGCACACTCGTCAAGTGAGAAGATGTGTCGCCTCAGTTCCCGCAGGTAGTCATTAACATTTTAACCTGCTGGGAACTGCAACCTCTCACCTCTTTGGACCAGAGGCCCATAGTTTTTCAGTACTATGGTCGTCATCTCTCGGTATGTCGACAGATGTTATTAAAAAGGCTGTTGGGTATTTGGCCCTAAAAAGGGTCTTTGGGTTTTGTAGATAGCGAAGAAGCAGTATTAAAAAAAGAATTGAAAAAAGGTTTTCTAATTCGTGTGTATAGAAGTTAGAGATTAAATCTTGTATATAAGAGTCGGAGATAATTGACTTTATTAAATTAAAACTAATATAAAAATTCTTAAACGTAAAATTAATAACTAAAAGATTATAAAAAAATTGTTTCTTTATATACACTTTTCATGAACTTTAAATAATTATTCAAATTTTACAAAAACTATTTATAAATTCAAAAAATCGTCTGATTATATTAACCCCCCAAAAAAATCCGAATATATAAAATAAATAATTTAAAATACAATATAGTCTGATTCCAAAAACAATTAGAATATGCAAATACATTGCATGATTTATCCAAAGGTATAAGGCCAACCAGATTATTTCCTCCGTCGGCCTCTTACAGTTTTTTTACGACGATACCTTAAAATGACCTGTGACGCTCGCCTGTTTTTACAAGAGGGGCGATCGGCGATAATTTTTACCTTTTCGGCATCTATAAACTGCGCCTGACACGTTGCATCTTTCGCTCAGACTGTAGGCCACTTCCAATGAATTGTCATAGCGAGCGTTTTGACTAATTCCGCGGGGGCCTCGCATATAAACATGTTGGCATTTGGTGCATCCTCTTAACAATTTCTCACAGTTGCTTGATTTCGTGCCTGTCACGCTCTTTTGTTTCGCACTTTGGCTCCTTGAGCTCAGTTTGCAGGCCTTTCCAAAGCTTTTGCTGCTTAAGTACCTTTTTGGTCGGGGAGAGCGGGCGCGTAATTTCCGGCAGGTTAGTAAATCTGATTCGTGAAGTAGAGGCGCTACCGGTTCCCATACTAAGGCGGTCATCGATGATAGCCTCTTCGAGGCCTAGCGGCCCCGACATCGGTCTATAGTGCCTTAGCGTGCATATAAGCTGTTGTGGGAGTGTCAGAGACTGCGGTGGGGCGAATACCGGCATGTTTCCATGCATAGAGGCAGCAGTCTAGGCATTGATTCGAATGGTGAGGGCGGTAATTGTTGCCATCATGTTTGCCATAGGGTCAACGGGTTCTTTGTCACCGTATCATCGCCGGGTCGGGTTGACCTGTTCCTAAATTGTCGGGTGTTATTAGATTTTGGAGTGGAAGATCCAGATATTGAACGTCACAGTCCGGACCTGGCCGATATCTTCGGATCGGCCTAGACCATGGTCTTTTATAAAAACTCGATCCAGACCGTGGGCCTAAATAATCCTGGACCGGTTTTTTATTTTTTTGATATTTTAAAAATATCTTGGTTTTTACCTAATTTAATTCTTGTTTTTTGGGACTATAAGTAAAATGCTTCTATGGATTACTTATGGTTTTCATATTGCAAAATAAAAATGAACTAAAAATACAAAAATAGGTAAAAAAAATAATAATATTAATTGAATACTAGGACCGTAAAAAAATAAAAAGACCTGTCCGGACTATGGTCCTTAAAAAATCGGTCCATCCATCGGTCCCGGCCTAAGACCGACAGGACCGGATTGTTGATTTCACTAAGCCAGGTGAGCATTGCTCCGAGTAGAAGATTTCTTCATTATAGTCATTCCGTAGGGAAGAAAGAAATTTCAGATGGAGAATATAAATTCCAAATAAAAATGACGAAAGTAAAACAACATGTAAAATATAGCAAGGAAACGGAAATACTTCCTTTCCTTCGTAGTCTCTGGGGATGTGAAAATATATCGTTCTCATGCCAAGATGTTATTCTCCTGTTCAATAAACCAGAACACGCTATAAGCCATATTAACGAATCAATTTATCTTTTTATTGGCATTTCCGGACCGAGTCATGATCTTCGTTTATATTTATATTTTTCTATAATATACTGCATATTTTTATTTATTTATTACCTAATTTATCTTATTGAAAATATGACAAGATGTGTGTGACATATGCAATTTCTGATCGATCCCCAATCTCCAGTTCTATCTATGGGGAAATACTAGTTACAGCCCTGAATAACAAATATATTTTTTAAAATAGTTTTGAACTACAGTAATGCTCTTTTATAAAATTTTTCCAATGACCTATAAATTTTATAACGTCATGCACGATAAACAAACACTAAAAACCATATAAATTTTATAATATTTATGGGACCTAAAATCAAAACACCAAAAGTGGGAAAGTCAGTTCAATTTTAATTATTAAATAATTTTTAATTATATTTTAAAATTAATATTAAAAAAAGGAACAGAAAGAGAAGAAGATGAATTAGACAAAATTATGGAATTAAAGGATTATGAAATGATTAAATCGAATGATGCCACATCTGAAGAATGGGACCAAGAACTCCAGGAAATGCTGGAAAATCAAAAAATATGAATTATTTATATTTAATTTATTCGTTTTATTATTCTTGGGTTTATCAGCCATTTTATTATCGATTGCGACCAAATTTAAATCAATTCGTCTTTATCAATGAACAAGGGTTTACAAAGAGCTTAAGCTCGTTTTTTTTATAATATCTGTCTTAATTATATAATATTTATTACTTTTTTTAAATAAATCTAATGTTTTAATTTAGTTTATCATAGTTTACTTTAAACACGAAATATAACATATTTATTGTCTTACAATTTTTTATTATGTACAAATATAATATTAATATATTCCAAAATTATATATCGATAACCATTATTCCAAAAATATAAATATGTCCAGTTTCAAAATAAATATTTCCCAGTAAAGTAGTATGTTTAAAAAAAAGTAATACATATAGTGACTCCCATTGAATCTTTTCATTGCTAACAAATAAATGTAATCCAAATCGGCACAACCTGAACCAAATCCATGAATTTTTTTAAGTATCTCTTTATCAGATAGAATCAGGCCCTCTATTAATTATTTCAGTGCGGAGGCTTTAAAAAGAAAACTCCCTATAAATTAAATTTGGGGTTCATTCCAATCCGAAGACCTTTACTTTATACATTGTCTTAATTTTTGGATTTTAATTACACATTCTCAGCTTGATATGGTTAAAGTATTTAAGGCATTTTTGGTTCATAAATTGTGTAATTTTCATTTTAATATTTATACATCAATATTTTACTGGGAAGAAAAACTCCGGGAGAAGAAGGCTTAGGAATATTATCAATTTTAAAATATTTTACCAATGTTTGAATTTTCAAACATCGACTTTGACTTACTATAAGTTTTTTAATTTATGTCTTATTAAAGGATTAACCTATTTAAGCTACATCTTTCTCCCTCTGTATAATAAAAGAAGAAATTTTGAATTTATTTTATTATATTTATAACCTCTTGATATGTTATATGAATTATATTCAAGAAACATCTCTGATTTTGAGCGAGCGGACATAAGGATGACTCCCTAAAGGTATATCAAACCATAAATAGTGTGTGTACGTGTATAATATGTAATAAGCGTTTAACAAATTTAGTGGTACGCTTCAGTGACCCAGATTTTTTTCCTGATTTTTGAAACTAAAATCATGAGCGTTTTTTTTAAATTTGGATAGACCTGAATTGACCGAAAGAATATTCCAGAATGTATAGAGTATCTACCCTGTAAATTTTAGTCCATTATGGCATGAGTATTTGAATATTTTTTTTAAAATTAATAATTAAGGGTAGTTCAAGCTTGCGAAAAAATTAATAAAAGAGTTGCATTATTTTCTTCTCTTCGATTCCAGTTTTTCTTCCACACCGCCGCCTATTTTAGACTGTACAGCGTTTATTTGTAATAGAACACAAAAACTTGATAAGAATATTTTTAATTAATAAAAACTTATACTAGTATCGATATAATCTATATTTCTAGCTATAATGTGACTTATTATATACAACCCAAATAAATATGGAATCATTCAATTTTTAAATTTAATTTATTCCGGTCAGTTCATTTAATTCTTTCCTCATTCATTAAATTTAACAAAATTTAATTATTTTTGAAAATTTAAGCAGGCGTTCGTTTTTTCCGTTAAAGAAATGAATTGGAAATTCAATAGAACAACAAGATTAACTTTATGCATACACTAGATGATGAGATGCGATGGACATTAGTTATTAATTATATATATATGTGTTTTAGATACCTTCAGCATGACAACAAGATTTTCAATTTGTTCAAACCCAACACCAACAGAATTAACTTATTTAAAATTATAATCGGCCCTTTTCCTGCCTTATAAAGTAATTAAATGGATATGCAATTATGAACACCTTTTATCTCAGCCTATAGACATCTAAATGACAGTATTCGGACTGTTATGCATATAGGTACGTGTGGTCTGTTCACTAATGGGTAAAAGCTCATTTTACTTAAAATCCAGTTTGATGGAAATGAGGAATATCATGCATAGCTCTTTTGTATCTACAACGATTAGAGGGCGATGCGCTTAGTCTATTCGACTCAAAAATGAATGATAGGCAATATAAGTGAAATTGCCATAAAATTAATATTACATTAACAATAAACCACAGAACTCAAGGTATTTATTCTAATCATTTAGATTATTTTATTTTTTTTCATAAATTGGTGTTGCAGTCTCGATTTCAACGACTTAAATTATTAACCAAATATTTAGAAAATGAAAACCTAATGCCAAAGTGATTTTTATTTAAACAATTGAAAAAAATATTCAATATCGACAAGACAATGTATCTGAATTGGATAATAGTGACAAAAAATTATATCATAATAAATAAGCCCAAAAACATTCGAATCAATAGTGAGATTATTTTTAACAAATAAGAGCAAGCATGCTATTTGCTCTTAGTACAACAATACCAAGTTGAAATTGGCGTGCTTGCAATTGGAAACGCAAAGAGCTAGAATTATCTAATTTAGCAACAGTTGTCATGCAAATACTTTCCGTCCCAGCTACCAGCACCTTGAGTGTTCTCTATTGATGGGTTGATATTGAATTCATTAAGATAAAATTATATTTATGCATGATAACTACAAAGATATATTGATGTAAATTTATAAATTCAATTTGTATATTTATATTTGTGTAAAATTTAATCATCTTGTCACGCATTGCTTAATCTAATAATTCAATTCTTTATCATTTGTTAAAGATATTTTATAAACATTTATAAATATTTATAATATTCGGTATCCAATAAAGATAAATTTTTTTTTTTTATTTAATTTTGTTGGCAATAATATACAAAAAAATTTACACTCTTTATCATGTATGTTGTTTTATCGTCGGGCCAATTTTTTAAAATTTTTATCGGTACGTCTCCGGCCGATATGCAAACGCGCCACCGAATAATATATCGGTGTAGAGGTTTATTTCTAGATAATAGAATTAAGAATAATTAAATAGTAATTTGCGTCGTCATGAACTATATCATTAATTTAAATCGCTTAGTTTGAGATCAACCTAAATCAATTATTTCTTCTTTGCATTAATATACTCGTATATCAATTTATTGGTACAATGTAGTGTTGTTATAAATTTGAATATCGAAAAACGTATGACATTTATCCAGAAAACAAATCGTCTATTAAAATTAAAAGCTATTTTTTCTCCTACATTTCAAACAAAAGACAGTAAAATTATTTTAAATTTGATAAAGAAAATAATATATTATCATCTTTTTTTACTTCTTTTTTTTATTGTGAATATTTTATTTAAAAAAAAGGTTTCAATTATATAATAAAATACAATATAAACCTGCCCCCGGACGACAACCCCGCCATAAATCCATCAATAACATTCTCCTAGCTTCCCTCAAAAAAATTAATATTCCTTCCACCTTCAAACCAGTAGGGTCTTTCAAATAAAAACGCCATACGCCACGATAGTACATCCCTCAATCCCTGGCATAACAGTCTCCCGCTGACCTGGGACTATACTTGTGTCGATTTTCCGGCAAAGTCCAACATCTTTTGCCATCGAGAAGGCAGAAGTCCTTAATAAAAACAAATATGCTGGCCTCAACAAAACAGGGTTTATACCATACCAATACCTTAAGCATGTTCAGAAGTGAGGTCCTCAATTTCATTAAAACCATTGGAAAATGAGACAGATCCCCCAATGAAGGATTTTACCTTGGTCAGCACATTTCGAGAGAAATCTGTCGGTCCAATTTTTTAAACATTCACTCTTCTCTAGGGTGATATGTACATTTTTTGATATTTTTTTTAGTTCTTTTTAATGTTTTTCTATATAAAATATATATTTTTTAAAAAAAATACAATTTTAATATATTCTTATGTTTTTTTTTAAATATATTTTTAATTTGATTGTTCTTATTTGTATTTAGTTTATTTAAATTGAAACCTCTTTTTTTTAAATTAATAAATTTGATATATATCTAAATTTTATAAATAAAAAAAACATTAAAACAGAATTTAAAACATTCACCAGAGAGGAATGAATACTTAGGAAATTGGCGAAATCTGCTGATGAAGGTAAAATCCTTCTATTGGGTCACCTCTAATCTGTCCTGCCTATGGTTTTGATAAAAATGAAAGCCTCATTTCTGAACATACCTCAGGTGTTTATTATTAGTATAAAAACTGTGTTTGTGAGGCCAACATATTAAACTTTTTAAGGACTTCTGCCTTTTAAATGGCAGAAAATGAGAGTTCGTTGCAAAATCAATACAAGTGTTGTCCACAGGTCATTGGGAAATCTTTCTTCTAAGGGATAAGAGATATACCATCCGGAGGTAGGGCGTTTTCATTTGAAAGGCACACTGGTTCAGGAGTAGATGGGATATTAACTTTTTTGAGGCAGCTAGGAGGATATTGTTAATGGGATTTATGGCGGGGTTGCCGTCCAGAGAAAAACTTGCAGTGCAAGGGGTGGCTGTTATTTGATTCTGGACTGGTCACAATCGAATGGAGGGCACAACTGCATTACAGACAAGACGAAGAGCTATGTGCATATTTTTCCTCCTGAGGTGGTCTAGATTAGAACTGGGGATAGATCATGGCCGGAGTTTGGATTCCAATATTATGTTATTAGGGTTTTCCTCAAAGCGCCTGTTCAAAATGAGGTGTTTTACGGAACGCCCGATCAAAGGAGTTATATTTTAAATAAGCATTTGAATAAATTAAAAGTGACTTCTAATAAATATGATACAATGCCGATATGAATTACTTCACCGCTAACAATTCATAATAAGATAGAGAATGCCACTATAAATTTTTGACATTTATTTATAACTATAGAATTCGATATATATATTTGAGAGAATTATTAGTTCTTCTGAATAAGCTGTTTTTTATCATTCTATAGTATTGAAATTATTATCATATAATATTTAAAAGAAAAATGATAAAAGACTCATAATAATCGTAAAACAAATTCAAAATATTATTTTATAAATTACTAAATTTTTATTACATACTTTACTTTCATCATATTCTATCAAATACAAAATATATTTATGGTTAATTTATTAAAAATATTAGGTTGCCTATATTAAGTTAGATTAATAAGTATATAAAAATATTAAATTTGGAAATAAAAGAAAAGTTTAGAATTAAAATATTCACAATTATTGGAAGAAATAAAATATAATATTAGTAAATCATAATTATATAAAGTCATTTCTTGTCTTTTATTGATTGAGACCCAAGTTCCCTTTTATCGTTAACATTAAAATAGGGAGCAAAATAGCCCAAGTCTATCCTATGCATAGGATGTTCAATTATTTTATTGTTTTATATTATTTTCTTTAAATATGTGTGAATTGTAGAGGCATAGGGTCTCTGCCTTTTGTCATTAAATTTAAGAGACTTTAATTTGTGGTATCGTATTTCAGCATGTAAAAAATTACACTGAAATTGAATTGAATTTAATTAAAAAATGAATTAAAACATGTATTTGAAATTAGTTCTCTTTTATTGTAAATCTTAGATTCTTCTATAGCCAAATAACAGAATATTAATTTTTCAAAAATTTGATTAAAAAAAAGTATTCTTAAATGATAACGCGAATTTACAATTCAAAATTAAACACGTTCTATTCAAATAAAATATATATAAAATAATACAAATTTTATAAGAAGTATTGATTGATCTTTCAAAAATAATAAAAATATTACATGATCAATAATTATTTGACTTGATCATTCAAAAATAACAAAATATACTCTTTAAAATGTATCGAAATATTGATACATTTTTTAAAAGATACATTTTCGATAAATTTTTTATTATATAATAGGAATATGATGTTAAAATCATATTTTGAAGAACCAAGCTTTTTTTATTCAATGTATTAAAAAAAATTTGATGATATTTATACATTTATTTATTTATATAATATGATATGGGAATTCATCAATTTGTAAAGTATTTTATTTGAGATATTTAGATAACTATTTGTTATCTTTGTCAACAATCAGAATTACAATTTTTTTTTAAAAAAAAATATTGTATAAGAAAAATGTCATTAGCTAAATAAGAAAAAATTGTCATCGTGCTAGAATGAAAAATATTGAAGCCCTAAATATTTAGTTAGTTTGCGCTTATACATTATATTTAGTGCCTGATTTGATTAGTATTTATTAGTTGCTTAATCAGTTTTGCCAACTAAAACAAATAAACTTAGCTAAACTATGACGTCACTTATCGTGAACTAAGCTTTTGAAAACACTAATTCTGTACATCAAAAACCATTAAGTATTGCTTAATTAATAAAATTTAATTTCTGTTTGTTTGAAGAGAAAAAAGATATTTTGGGCAAAATAAAAGAAAAATGTCAAGATTTGCATCATACCAGATTGAAAATTACAAATAATCTGAATATCGGGTTGCTTCAATATTTAATGCCTTATTGTACTTATTAATTTATCAGTTTTGACAGTCACAAAACAGAAACCGAGTTATAAGTGAAATAAAAACTATTACCGCAACCTTATGCTGCTTATTTGAATTTTGAATCTTATGATTTTACCATCTTTGCAGATATTAATTGTTCTTTTTGGTTTATTTAATAGATAAAGAAATATAGTTTAAATTTTATTCGATTTCGAATCAAGTCTTATTTTCAAAAATTTGATATAAATCTGACTCATATTTAGACGCAGTCCTGAACATTGATATGCAACGCTTAAATACTATTCATTTGTTTATTCTATAATTCATTTGATAAACAGTATAAATACATAAATTACTAAAATTCACATCAAGATTCGAGATAGAACAAAGATCTAAAAAAATCACTATCATTATAAAAAATCAACTTTTTAGCATATTTCAAAATATGATACTCGATACCTTTGACTGTAGATTTAGTATTTTATATTAGTGATGATATAAAACAAATAATCAAATAGACTTGTGAAAATTTTGAAAGTGATACCAAAATAAGATAATTTAAATTTAAATTGAAAACGATTATTTTTTACCCTCAGGAGATAAGGTGGGCCTATTGTTGTAAATTTCAAGATATTATAACGCACATTAAGAAGTAATTTAGGAGATTATATTATAGCAATAAAAAAAATAGAAAAAAGGAGAGGTTTTTATCTTTTCGCGATTTAAAAATAAAAGGAAATTATGAAAGCAAATTTTATTCCTGTCATATTTTCTAGAGGGGCGGGGGAGGGGAGGGGTCAACCTTAAACTCCCTGTCTTTTCGTAAATATTAATATAAAAGTATTATGAAAACACATAATTTTCCTCTTCCATATCTTTGAGGAGGGCCCCACCCCCATCTATCCCACTGCTTCTAAGAGTTGTTTAAGAAAATAAAATATTTGACCTTTAGATGTCTGAGATTTAGAGTTATCCATTGTGTAAAATAAAAATTTGTCTTGTTTGTTTTTTTTGCAGAGAAGCAAACTCGGAGAGATTTAATATTTAATACAAAAAAAGGGGATTAAATATATTTTAAAATAATAAAATACCCCCAAAACATTATTCCACAAAATGTATCTATATAAGCTATAGCTAAAAATGTTTATAGATATTTCTTGTAAAAATGTATCAATAATCAAGTTTTTCAGAGTTAAATAAATGTGCTATAAATAATTAAAATTTTAAAAATTTGCAACGTCTAGATCTGCTAAACCCCTACGACGTATACCACGAAATAGAAATATTGTGTCATGGGTAATGTTTCTCACTCAAATTTGAAAAAAAGTTTCAACCCTAAGGATTAAGGAGTAAAAAAAGGGAAAATAGAAAAATTATAAATTGAAAACATTATGAAATTTATAATTGCTTGCTTCCATATTCAGCGTTTATGTTTTTGGGAGAAAAATATTTAAAAGATATAAAAACAAACAAATATGTTTGTGTTTTTTGTTTTTAAAAAAATTTTAAATATTTTTTAATATTTAAAACAAAATTAAAATTTTAATCGATATGGAAGCACTTATTATGAATAATATGCATTAATTAAAATTCTGAATCATTAAAATGTTTACCTATATCTTTAATTATTTTAGTCACCCAGTTTTAAATTGTGAATCTTTGTCCTCGATTATGTCAAATAATTATTTTTAATTTATGACTAAACTTGACATTGAATCAAGTGTTTTTTTCTTCTCTTAATGCGATATTTTGACTTACTTTTCTTTTGTTATTTCACTCATTTTAAAAATTTAGATTTAAGAAAAATAATTGAAATATAGGAATAATAACCCCTTCAGGTTCGATTCATAAGAGTATAAAAGTGAATGAGATCGGAGATAGATTTTATAAAAAAAAAAAATTAATTTAACGAAGTTTTATATAAATACATTCCTCCTCCTAACTTGGACCCACATTAATCCCTTAGCAGGTTGTTAAATTTTGAGAATAATTTTAAAAAATGTATAATGTTAATTGTTTATAATATTTTGAATTCGATTTTGATAAATTTTTTACTTTATTATTACTATCAGAGACCTTAAAATGGTAAAAGTTTATAAATCGGAGCCAGGCTTAAGAATAAAGTCCAAAAATTTATCCTAGCTGGACCGGGGACTTGAAAATAACATATATTAAAAAACAAAGTCGGGCGGGTTTAAAACTTTGACTCTGCAGGTTTTTTCATGTTAATTCGAAAATATTTTATAAAACTATATGTATTATGTTGTGGGGTTTAGAAAAATTGGTTTAGGCCAATGTTCCATTGGTTTGAATATACTATTAAAAAAATGAAAGTAGGTATAAGGGTTTTAAACATTTTTTGACAAATTTACAATTAAAATTAGATTTATCTCGATGATTGATTGCATCCAATTGCTGTAAACTTTAAGTATAGTATTTTATTTTTAAATTAGAAGGGCATATAATATATTGGATGTGTCTTGAGTATTAAAAATAATTGAGTCCATATTATTTAGAATAAAAATATTTGTTTATAAATGACATTAATTTTGTTTTTATTATAATATAAATATAAAAGGTCTATAAAGAATAACGAAATGATACCCAAGACATTTCTAATACTTGGATTGGTAAGTTAATTATTACTTATATAAAAATTAAATTTTTTATTTAAAAACAAATTAATTATAAAATTCCCTAAAAAAATTTAATCAAAAATATAATCTTTTTTATTATATAAACATAAATTTCCTTTGTTCTATATAGAAAGACGGGCAAAAATAATAAAATATTGAATAAAAAATATCTTGTATAAAAATTTATAAAATATTTTCAAAATTTTATCATTTTAAATAAAAAAGATATATATTTTTACGTGCTATGCCTTACCTAACCATAAACGTTTTTTAATTATATAGCAAAATATATATTCTTTTAAATCAGGTAACTGCCAACTTAGTCTACCGTACATGTGGAGGTGGCTTTGCCCTTCAACCTCCAGGAGGTGGATCTGATGAATTTCGAGAAAGAGGTGGTGGGGGTTGGAGCCCTCATGGAAATCTAGGGGGAGGAGGTGGTCGCTTTGTAAATAGAATACCACAAGGAGGATCTGGAAGGGGAAAAGGAGGATCTTGGAGGCAAGGAGGGGATGGAAGAATCAGAGAACGATTAGAGGAGAGTTTCGGGGAAGAAAGATTCCCTCGAAGGCAAGGATTGGGTGGAAGGATCAGGGAAAGACTAGGTTTCGAGGAAAGATCACAAAGAGGTTTTGGTGGTAGACGACAGGAATTCAGACAAAGATCGGGCAATGTCAAATCTTCAGGTCCACGACAGCCCTTACGTCAAAGGGCACGTGTGCAACAAGCCCTCCAACAGTTTGAAGAAAGGAGATCCAGTTATGGTAGAGGAGGTGAAGGGGGTGGTTTCAGAGAAAGAATTCGAGAAAGATTTGAGGACGAACCACAAAGAGGTTTCCGTCGCGGTAGAATAGAGGAATTCAGACGAAGAGCTCAAGGCAGTACCAAATCTTCAGGTCCCCGACAGCCCCTGCGTCAAAGGCCACGTGTTCAACAAGCCCTCCAACAGTTTGAAGAAAGAAGATCAAGTTATGGTAGAGGAAATAGAAGGGGTAGTAGCTTTAGAGGAAATAGAAGGGGTAGTAGCTTTAGACTTCGAGGTCGCTACCATCCTCTCCGTCAAAGAATACGAGCGCAACAGGCCTTTGGACAGTTTGAAGAAAGAAGATCCAGTGTTGGGGAAGGAGGTTTTGGACGGGGTGGTTTTGGTGGAGAGGGTTTTAGAAGGTATAGACCTCAAGACAATGTTAAATCCTCAGGGCCTCGACAGTCTCTTCGTCAAAGACCACTTGTTCAACAGGCCCTCCAACAATTTGAAGAAAGAAGATCCAGTTTTGGTGGTAGGAGTTTTGGGAGGGAGGGTTTCGGTGGAGGGGGTTTTAGAAGAGGTAGCCACAGACCACGCCTTCAACAAGCTTTCCAACAGTTCAGAGGGGGGCCCAGTTTTAGTGTAGGCAAGAGTAGTGGAGGGGGTGGCATGATGATGATGACACATGAACAACAGAGACAGATGACCCTGACAGCGGTGAGAAGTGGAAATATACCTGAATTCCTCAAATCGCGAATTCAGAGTTTTTGCCAAACTATGAGGAGTCATGGCCAATTTCGAGATAAAGATAGAATCACATGGAGGAATTGCTGCGATGGTTTCCTTGACCAGACCGGGAACATGGATGAAGCTATGGGAATAGTCATGGCTAATGGTGGGGATTAAATAAAATGATTGTTAAATCATTAGAAATAAACTGTAAATTAAATTTATAGAAAAACTCCTCTTGTTAGAATTATATATTCGATATTTTTATATGTAACACAAATATACAATATCGATATTTTTACGAATATTTTATTACGTGATATCTTTTTTAACCCTTATACGCTTTTATAATAGCTTGTAACGCAAAAACTTTAATAATGTTAAACCTTTGTGTATACATTGAAGAAAGAAAAATAAAATTTATGAAAATCTGTCTGAAATCACAATATTATTACATTTTCACATAAAAGTTAAATTATTTTAAAAAAATGTAAATTTTAGAATAGAGGGTTAAACTGTCCTATTATAAGTTAAGCGACATTAATGAATTATTCAGAATCCAAGCCAGAATTCATAATCTCAAACTTAAATAAACTATGAGGACCAATATAATTTTATAAAATCTGCATGTATGGTATTTTTCCTATAAATTTCAAATTTGCCAAAATTTTTTGTATTTATTAATTTATATGAAAAAATCTGATACATATAAATTAATATAAATTAAGAGTAGTTTAAAAATTTAAAGCAAAATTATCTGAAATTCTAGGGTAGGTATCCCACACATGCTGGAATACATTTCCGGTTAAATAAATATTTACATAGAGATCTATTTTTTAAAATATTTTATAGTCTGCTTGGATCCAACAAATAAGCTTCAAAAAAATATTTGATCTAACTTAATATACTTTTAGATTTAAAAAAAATTTATAAGGATAGTTATTTTTTTTTTGAACGGAAAATTAAAAATATTAAATTAATGTTAAATGAGTTATTATGATTTTCCCATAGACCTATAAAATATATTGTTAATCATTATTGATTTTGTGAAAATGAAAAAGATATACACCTGAGTTCTGCAATGGACAAATTATGGGAGGGTAGGACAAAAAATTTTAGAAAACGGGCGTGCGATTGGGCGGGTTGCCGGGTGGGTAATTTTAAAAAAATCAGTGGGGGCCTACCAAAATATTTTCCAATATAATTTTAATATGCATTCATAATTATACAATGTTTTTTATATATTATATATGATATTTTTGTCGGTTAATGATATATGGCGTTAATCCACTCGCTAAAATTCATCAAAATGCAATAAGACCCACTTATTTTTTAATATATATTAATGGAATCACCATGGTCGAGTCCGCTTCCGCTGCTATCATCCCCTTAAGGACGGAGCCACCTAGTCGACTTTAGAAAAAACAAGGTCCGTCATGAATTCAAACCCAATCGAATTGCAATGCACATACAACCGATAAGGCCACAGACGCTACTCGGAAGAATCAAATATTTTTGTATAAAAGGATAAAATTTCTAATTTATCTAATATCTTAATAAAACACAATCAATAACGTTCAACGCTATATATCATTAACCGTTATTGTCATCGTTTATCCGAGATATAAATACAGATTATAAATCTTTTCAAAGTAATATTTTTTAATAAGGCATACATAGTTATTCAATCAATTAAAATTTCTTGGAAATTAAATTTCATATTACCTATTTGACAATATAATTTTATACATAACAGTATACTTTTTTAGTATGGCAAATCAAATAGCTAATATAAAAAAGGCTTTGAAATGATAAATTTTATAAAATTCTTCTTAATTTTTGAGATAAGCTTCTATCTAAGCTCTTTGCTAAAATTTTTATATAAATATTTTCCTTTTATTTTTAAAATATGAGATAGTATATTATTCATGTTCAGCTCATATGATGACCACAATTCTAAGGAATACATTTCAATCATATTAATTTAAGAAAATACTCTCAAGATAAGCTGCGTTTATCTTCCTTTCATCTTTTTTAAATAGTCGTGCTATTATATATCGCATTATCTTTCCATTCAGATTTAATTGTCGCGATATTATATTATATTTTATCCATTGGTGCCTTATTTTATTCGTTATTCATTCGTGCCTTGTTGAATTACCGAGATATATTAAGTATTTGTGGGAATATTAATCTATTTCTATTCATTCGGGAGATATATTTTGCAGTTTTCACTCTCATTTAACTAGCGTGATATTATATTTTTTATTCACTTTTCATTTTGCTTTAAATATCTCGAGAATTTCTTTTTTATCCTTTTTTGCCATGTTAAATATGCGTCATTTTATTATTTTTATTCACGAGTCTTTTTATACTGATTTAGGTCCATCTATGGTGGTAGTCACCACTGGTTTGGCCTTATATTTGCTGTTCTATAACTTGATGCTATCTCCCTTGATTATCTAGCTTCATGTACAAATTTTTACTTAACCATTTATTCTCTTTTGTTTTCTTCATAAATTTGTCCTTCATATGAAATGAGTACATATTAGATATAATGATTGTTTTCAAGTTCATGGACCACCTTCAGTCAAGGTCTACTTCTAGTCTAGCTCCACTGTCCCTTGTCAGTCAATCAATTATTCTTCTGAAAATCTTTGTTTCTCCTCTTCACATTTCAAATTCCTTCATCACAGATTTTTTCTAGAATATTCCAAGTCAAATATCATTTCGAGGATCCTCATAGGTTCAAGTTTGCTAATTGCTAAATCATTTTTTGATTGTATATCCCTATTGCTATACTTTAGCAATGAGAATGAATGTCTTTCCTTTTCTATGTATATAACATCTTCAAGATACGACAAAATTTTCATAAATCCCTAACTCAACAAATGAAGGATGTTGCATCCATTATTGCCACTTATTTTCTGCATTATCAGTAATGGGGGAGCGTAGAGGCTCGAGCCTAGCAAATTTGTTAAGTTCCTCCACCCCCTCCCCATTTTTTTATATACCAAATGCAGCATCTTTATGAACGGAGGGGGGGGGTGGGTAGGAGCAGTTTGCAACCTATTTTTTGAGGGGGGGTTCGACGGTTTTGATGGGGGTAGGATACATTGGGGGGGGGGGTATCTATTAAATTTTGAGATAAAATAGGACAACATTTATTGCTGTAAAAATTAATACTTTTATTTAGACCTATTATAATATAATCCATCAACCAAATCTATATATTGCAAACAATCATAGACATTATTTTCAAAATAAAACTTTCTGCTATCCTTATAAATGTAATTTAAAAAGTTTGGGCATTTTCAGCAAGCCCAAGCTATTATAATGAAATCATTGTAAATGATGGGGGTTTTAATTGAATTTATTATCTAAAAAATAACTCTTTTATATTCACAAAATGTTGATATTTGGTAGTAGAGATAAAATAATTTAAGTTATTCTTTTTAAATTTTCTGATAGAGTATCATTATAATTAAAAATAGGAAATAGGGGGGGGGGGGGGGGTTGTAGCCATAGATTTTTGAAGGGGGTTTGCATCCAGTGAAAATCCTGTCATGTAGATGCTGACCAAATGCAATTGATAATATTAGCTAAAAAAAAGAAGTAATTTTGGATAATTCTATCTGAAAAGAAGGTAATTTCTAAAATAATTTTAAATTTTTTTTAAATCTCTGAGATTATAAAGAGTAGTGGTTATCTTCAAAAATAACAAGAGTCCCAAGCTTTCAAAAACAAAAAACCTTCGCCAATTGAGTTGAAAAAATATTATTTTCAAGAAAAATAATTTTAACATAAAAGGTGCTCTCAGATGTTTGGTATCTCCTCATGACTCTCCAGCCAGGCCTTCCCAAGATGGGTATATCAAGTTCTGCCAAAAACACCCTACCACAACCATTACCCCAATATTCCCTCAATCCACTCCATATGTGCCTCTTGATTATCTTCTGATGAAGTAAAAAAGACTATCATTCCTTTCATTTCCTCAAGAACATCACATCCCCTTCAATATTCACAGAAACTCCAATTCTTATTAAAATTATTAATTTTTGAAATAAAATTTTAAAAGTTGAAGTAGCTAGCTTTGTTTCTCCAATTCTTTTTGGTGCTAGGCTAATTACCCTTTAGTAGTTATATGATGATATTCGGCCCATTCAATAGGTTCAACCTTTAGACGCCTTGTCGCTAAAATTCTTCATTAATTACACAAAGCATCTCTCTCAGCCCTTTCCAATTAGGTACTAGAATCTCTAGTGGCTGTGAAGCCATTGTACATCTTATTAGAATACACTAAAAAAAATCAGTCTACCAACGAGTTTTTAATCAAAATTGACTTCTCAAATGCTTATAATACTCAAAATTCCTTCCTGAGTTCCATTTGTACCCTTTTCCTAGTTACACTAAAATTTTTTATTTTCTGTCTGGGTATAAACAGCATCATTAAATCTATTAACTCCAGGTGTTGATTATAATTTTATGCCTATAATTTTGATAATATATCTAATGACGAAGTCATAAGGTTATGAATTTCTAAAGAACGGGATTGCTATTAGACTCTCTATATACCCAGAAAAATCCTAACTTATCCCTTACAATTGAACCTAATTCACACAACTTCAAACTTACCACACAAGAGGAACTCATTTAGGATCCCCTGTTAGGGTAAAATAGCAATCTCTCCTTTCCCTTAATACTCCTTAGACTCTTTTAAGATGGCCAATTTATTTCCCATACTATCCTTCCATAAAGTCTTTTTTCCTGAAAAATTTCCTTAATATTCCTTGGACCCTACATGCGATAAGGTCGACTCTTAATTATAAATATCCATGCCCCTTGGTGTTTATGAGAATTGGATCAAATTTTTGATCGAAAATATAATAAACTTAGGTTCAATGATATATGGACTCAATTTTCTTTACCTACGAAGAATTGCGGATTAGACATCAGATCTCCTTTCAATCTTTCCTTAAATGCTATTATACTGAGTTGTTTATTAACAAAAAATATCGTAAATTTTCATTTAATAAAGCCTGATCCTTCCTTTGATAGTCCTATTATCGTTGAAAATCCCAAATTATTGCTGATCATCCTTTTCCAGATACGAATAAGCAGAAGGATTGGGAGTTCAATCACCCCTTTCTAGAATGCAATCTGACCGTCCATTATTT